TTCCAAGTCGTTCCTTTCCTTTCACGCGAAACAACAACAAATTGAAACATCAAGTAGTCTATGTTGTGATAAAAAAGTTTAATAATATTTGACTGGACGTACCTGAGACTGTGGAGATCCCAAGCTTGAGTAAGATCCCGCTGGTGACGGGTAATATCCCACATTGTCTGCGGATGGGGAAGCGGTGCTGCAGCGGGAGGAAGAATCGCACTCCGCGTTGAAACCGGTGAACATCATCGTTCCCAAAAAGACAAGAAGATCCAAACAAACTCTACTGCGGGGGAATGTGAACTTGAAAAAAGGAAATCCCTCTAGTGGGTTTGTGGAAAAACTCTAAAGTGCTGCTCCCGATCTCGTTCTTTTCGTCCTTGTTCTGCTACTGAAAGTTTGACTGCCAACTCTGACTGCACGGAGCCTTTTTATAGCCTGACCAAACGGCCGAATGACGTCGGCGAAGGGGAGTGTTCCTCGATCGGTAGCGAGGAAAAAAACACCAAAACACTGACTTGACAACGCAGAAATACTCCCAGCTACTGCTCGTACTTTGTTTAAAAGTTGAATATACGATGCCCGCTTGTGTTGTACGAAGGTAAAAAGTGACATTTCGATATATTTTTAAAACTCACCCTCAAGAAATGGAATATTCCAGAAACGGGATCCCCAATACGTAATTTTCCAAATATGGTGCATCCTGAGGGAGGCGGGCCTTGCTGGGAAATACACCTTCCGAGATTGGCGGACAGCGAGTTGACGTTATGTAAGACAACAAACACAGAGGCTGTTGTGAAAACTGAAAAACTGGGATAATGGTCAGCAAAAGTACATCCTACTCATCGAAGCGCATCAAAGATAAATTTGAACATGCAGATTTGTCTGTTCAGAACTAAGTGTATCAAACGAACGCACTGAACCCCGCACTGCCTGTGTATTTTTGACTTTCATGTTGAATAGTTATTTCAATTATTATTATTTAGATCAAAAATCTGAACATGGGACCCCTGCAGTCTTTTTGTTAACCTTCTTATGCTTAGTAGATAGGCTTTAATGCATTTTATAGCTTACGGACAGAGCTATCACTGAGGCTGGAAAACAAAAGCACATTAACATTTAAACAAGCTGTGGTTTGAGGAACTCTTGCAGGGTCAGTCATGTAGAGTAGGCTACTGTTGTGTTACAGGACTTTCGGTGTCAAAGATTTAGAGTTGAGAGAGTTGAGAAATTTTGATTTGACACATGCTCATGCAATAGGCTATATGCAGTGAAAAGCAGGGCAGTATACTCTGGAGGCTGTGCAGTGTGACTTTCCATTAGAATTAGGGTAAAAATGAGAATATAACAATGTGGATAAATTGAAGATAAAATAATTTGATAGTGAATTTAACTCTTTTTGTTGGTTACATGGAAGAATTCTTTTTTTTTTGCAAGTGAAAGCCTCTCTATCTTATCTGAGATAAGTTTTATTGGCAGTTGACATTTGGGCCTAAATTGTATGCAATCCAAAACAAATTTCCATAAATCTACACCAAGAATTGGCATACGACAGCTACATGTCAGAGCAGAAGCAGTTGCGTGTGTACTGTGCCTTCAGGCAGTGCTTGAACCTTATGTGTGTAATCCAAGCAAAGGTGTGTTTAGTTGCAGAGCAAGCTGATAACTGGTTTCTGATGTGTACTTTTCCACAACAGCAGTAGTTTGCTTTTCTCAGGGATGTCCATACTTGTTCATAAAGGTCTTTCCCTAAGACCATGGTAGAGGGAATCCTCACGCCTTTCCCTGTGTGATTTGCATAACAGCTGCTTCAAGAATCACTGAAATGCAACTTGACATTGAGCCAATCGTAAGGCTTTATATTACTCTTCAAAAGAATTTTTTAATTGCTTAATTACTCTGTAGCTTTAAACATCATTTTCATTGCCACAAACACCCTAATCAAGATTCTCCACTTTTTTTTGATAACTTGTCCTTAATGAAAAGGTAGGACTATAGCATACCATTTCAGTTGTCAATATTTTGTTGCTGTTGATTTTGAAGTTATAAATGAGCAGAAAATAATTGGAAAAGCAAAAATTCTGACCCCAGTAGTTAGATGTAGCCTATATAAAAAATAGTTACATTCCCCTCATATCTGGTTTTCTTAAAGGGTCATTTAGGAATACTTCTCTTTAAGCATTCCCTTAAACAGTGCAGGCCTAACATGCAACAGAGGGCTGTTGTTAAAAAATAAATAGGCATTATAGGCGTTAACATATCATTAATAAAGGTCTAAAGAGTTAATAATAGTGTTATTGTGTGAAAGTGCATCAATGTAGGTTAAAGGAGTCCTGTTTTGTTTCCCGCGCTCGTGTTTTGTTTAACATTCTTGGTTGCCCTAGCAACACTCCACCCCTTCGCGTCAGTGACGTCCTTAATTTGCATGGCAACAAAGATCGCTTTTGCTGTGGAGACGAACCGCTCAACAAAGTAAATTAAAACCGGCTATTCAGCGTCGCCTTCGCGGGGCCCCCATAAGAACACGTCATTACGTCAGCAAATGATCTGAAACGTCTGGTTCCAGGAAACAGGGGCAGAGTGAGAGCTCTGTCTGTCGCGTTGGTCTCAGACGGCGCTCCTCTCCATGGAGCCTGCGGAGCAGCGGAATGAAACAGGACACCAGACAACCCGTTCATCTTGTGGATTGTTTGAGTATTTTGTTTGATTGGTTGGCAAGAATAGCAGGTTCCCAATCAGCGATGCTGACATAGACTATTTGTTTTGAACAATGTTTTTTGTTATTAGAAGGAAAAGAATAAACCAATGTAAAGACATTAAAGATGAGAATAAAAGATGGCTTAGCAATGTATTGTATATAGGCCACTTACCATAACAATTAAGTTGATAACCATACTAATGACGACAGCTACCTTATCGAAAAACAACCACAACAAAATCAATTAGCTTGCAGCAACACGGAAGAAGGATAATTCATGGATAAAGATCATATTCACATACCATAATTTACATTTTGGGTAATGTAGGTATTGTAGCTAATTTTTGGTGAATTACACATAGCACTTTGAATGGCCCCACTTACTACTGTTTTTTATTTATTTATTATTTTTAATAGGCTAACATCTTTTTTTTATTTCTTATTTATTTATTTATTCATCCCTGAGTCACTTGTTTTTTGCCCAAGTTCATAGCATTCAGTAACAGCGCACAAGACAAGAGCACAATTATCTTTTTGCCTGTTTTACATGAACTTTGAACGCTGATGTCACAGAGTCTAAAAATAAACTCCGCCGGCCTGTGCACATTCACGCTCAAGTTGCTTTGATGAAAACAAGTCTTTGAGCTGTAGTGAGGGGTGTCTGCAGTTACGTCCGACCTGTGAACCCCTCTGTTCTTGAGCCGCCAGCGACTGAATAGGCTCAAGCTGACCACCTAATGATTTTCCGGCAAATGAGCCTAGAGAGGCTGTGACTGCCGGGAAGCAACCGGGAGCGCAGCCCCTCTGAACAGGGTGAGCCCCCCCTCTATTCACCATCCATCCCTCTCACTTCAGCGGATCTGTGAGGTCATCTGATACCTAAATATAGATTACCCAGCCTATACAAGCCCCTTTCATATAGCATCTGATTTAAGCTATGCGGGAATAAGGCTTGCATAGTGGTGCCAATAAATTGCATCAACACGACTGAACAAAAACACTAATGTTGTCTCATAGGCGATCATCACATGGAAATCAGCCACCAGATCAATGAGTGACTAACATGGGAAAAAGCACAGGCCTAATATTTCCAATTTTCTGCAATAAGCCATTTGTGTGATGCCTTTAGCAAACTATAAATACATTTACAGATTAATATCTGCGAAGAATCCTATTCTTATAGGTGGTGGGTCATGTGCAGGGGTTTGCCCTCCTCTTCATGCACTAAAAGTAGTGTCTCAGTGGCTAGTCAAGGCGCAGCTAATGACGCTGTTATTGATAGGCTACAATACATGACGGCCGAGCTTTTTAGCTCGTGTTTCACTTTCTTCTGTGAGTGTGAGTGAGTGGGCCACACACAGCCACACGTCCGTCTGCGCGCTCTCTCTGTGCGCCACAGCGCGCCCCTGTTCCCCGGAAACACCATATATGGTTCGACCGGTCCATTCGGCGATTGGCTGCTTTACTACAGCAACAATTCTGTTGCTGGAGCTCTATTCGTATGCAGAGACAGGTGAAAGGCAAATGTGATATATGGATGACAGTTCACTAAGCGACTCATAAGAAATCAGCAGGTGTGCTGGAAGTTTTGTGCATTAATTAAATCATGCTGGGTTTCACAATATTGCTCCAAAATAAGATGGGGAAATCGTTTCTGTAATATTTCTTTCTATAGCCTCTATAGAGTGCACCAGCAGTGTTCTGATTCTGTTTATTTGGAGGGAACACGAAGTACTAAACACACCAGGTCCACTCTTTTAAAGTGTTTAACAGCTTGCAATGCCATCACCCCCATTCACCTGCAACAAGCATTTCTGTTGCCATGTATGCGCCAGTACAATTAAGATACGTCTCGTGAACATATGTGGACATAAAGGGAACATGATGTGTATGATGCAGATGCTGCATACATGAGATGACGTAGTTCATTCATGGCGATGGGCACCTCTTGGAGGCGGGGGTGTCCCTTCACACATGTTTGCTGTTTTTTTTTATATTTGAGTAAATAAAATAAGTTAAAATGAAAACGCTGCTTAATGTTGCTGTTGGACCACTTCTTGGATTTAAATGTAGAACTGGAAAACATCTGCTCGCTTTTTTTTCTCTCACCTCTCCCTCTTTGAAATGGTTCGGTCTCACCACACAGATTTCATTCATAAAATTCCAGCTCACTATAAAAGGCGGGCCTCTCCACTATCTGCACAGTTACCATTTATGAACCTGGCAAATGGAATATAAGTAGGCGTTTAGCTGTCTGTTTGTTCTTTAGAATAGATAAATCTTGTTTTTTTATGCAGTGATTTTAGGCGAGAACATGCATCCAGACTCCTGCACTGAGTTCGACTCCTCGTCCAGCTGTAGCACAGCATCGCCTGGCGGGGACACCCCTGGGTGCAGCCAGCATCCTCCTGACTCGCTTTCATCATCAGTGGACAGCGCCAAGGTACAAGCGGATCTGATCATCCAAGAAATAATCCTCTCCAAACTAAATCTTGCAGAATAAGTGATGCATAAGGATACTATAGGTTGCATTCCTGAGATTCTTCACACATATCCAAGTGCATTTCATAGCAGCATTTTCTTAAACAGGATTACTGTCCCGTGCTGAAAATGACTCTATACAAACACATATAAGCTACAGCCTCTACGGTCTCCATGTAGGAAATCCGTAAAAAGCGCGATAATATTCAGTCTTATTTCAGGGAGAGGTATATGTCTTGGTCGTGACCTTTCATTTCAGAGTGATTTGATGATGATGCAAATGAGTGATAATGATTTGATGATTGGACGTGTAGCTGATTTTGATAGACGTATAGACAGCAATGATTTTCGCGTTTTTGGCATTCCTCAGCCAAATGATTGATGTAACATTTATGCACATCTAAAGGTCAGCCATGAACGTGGTCGCCCATTCATCAGATAAGCTAAATTAGTGTTTGACTGCATGCATGCGTGTGTGTGTGTGTGTGTGTGTGTGTGTGTGTGTGTGTGCGTCTGTGATGTGGGTTTTTCCAGGACAGTGAGACAAGTGCAGCAGACTCCTTTGTTCCGACCGTGACTGCAATCTCAACCTCGCCGGATCTAAGGTGGATGGTGCAGCCGACAGTCATCACATCTGTCTCTCCGTCGTCCGGCCGCGCGAAGACCAAAACTCACGGCGCGACGCAGCCGTCTTCCCCGGCAGGTGCAAACAAGGCGAAGCTCTCCAGCAGGAAAGGGCAGAGAGAGCAGGTACGCAAGGAAACAGGGTGGGGAGGAGGAAGGTAGCCAATCAATCAATCAATCAATCAATCAATCAATCAATCAATCAATCAATCAATCAATCAATCAATCAGCAAGTATTGATCTTCAGTAATACCCTTCCCTATTCCTCCCATGACTCCTTTACATTTAGAGAGGTTAATATGAAAACTGAGGTATCGCGATATTTAAAAAAAGGACATGAAAAAGGATGCAACTGTTTTTGCAGTTGGTGAAAATGAACGTGGGGAGTGTAAATAGGCTAAATGACTGCAGGGAGTAGCACATAAGGTGGTTGGATTATGTCTAATTGGTGCAGCGAGTCCTAATTACTGCTGGAGTAAGAAGCACCGCACCGTTTATGAATGGGATGGGAAGTTGCATAAAAATGCGCGTTCACGTGGCTGGCTTGACCGTGCCAGTGGTGCAGCATTTTAACGCCTCAACTGAAAGAGAGTCTGCACCGAGTAGATCAGTATTCCCAGCATACACTGCAACGGTTTTTTGTTTTTTGTTTTTTTGTTTTTTTGCTTTTGGCATGTGAAATGGTTTTGAAAAGCCAACAGCTGATATGGGAAGACTTAGCAGGAAACGCATTTAAATTGGTTATTTCTGATTGACTTTAGCCTTCCAAAGAGGAGGAGGAAAGGAGGAGGATCAGGAGGGAGAGGAACAAAATTGCTGCAGCAAAGTGTCGTAACAGACGGAGGGAGCTGATAGACACTCTACAAGCTGTAAGTATCCTGTTTGATGAAATCATATAGAGAGCATTCACACAGCACATGCACTCCTCCAAAGCTGAAGGCATTTACAGCTGTATGACATGTCACTAGTCATTAAAGATCACAGCAGCACAGCAGGGAAGACTGCCGAGCACCATAGGACACCGTTGTTTTCATGCTTCCCTCATGCCGAGTCTTTTTCTGATTTTGTCCCTCCTCACCTCAGGAAACTGACAAGCTTGAAGAGGAGAAGTCTGCCCTCCAGACAGAGATAGCTGACCTGCTGAAGGAGAAGGAGAGACTGGAGCAAGTCTTAGCCTCCCACAAACCATCATGCAAACTCCCTGTAAATGATGATGATGATGAGGAAGAGGAGGAGGAGGAGGAGGAGGAGGAGGGGGTGGTTAATGAAGATGATGATAACACAATGCTGCAGGATCCCCCAGCCTCCCCACAGTTGCTGTCCATCTTAGAGAATGGAAAAACACCAGAGAGCAACACAGCAGTTGGAGAAGCCCCTATTGGTCAAGACATGGACGAGGTCCCTTGCATTCCTGATGCAGCCATTTTGGGGAACTCCAACATCCTCCTGTGTTCAAGTGCAGAAGAGGAAGCTCTGGAGGACTTAAAGGGAGATGACCTGGATGACTTGGTGCCCAGCCTGGAGATGGCAGTGACTTCTGAGACGGCTGTATCCGTCCCTGACATAGACCTGAGCGGCCCCTTCTGCCTCTCCGATTGGGAAACCCTGTACAAGTCTGTGGCGAATGACCTTGAATCTTTGAGCACACCAGTCATGTCTTCCAGTCCCACTTGTAGCAATTACCGCACAGTGTTTTCCTTTAATTACTCTGAGATTGATTCCTTGGCTGAGGGCTGCGAGAGCCTCAAAGGCAGCCTTACTGCGTCTGAGTTAATGAAAGATAGTCTTAACTCTCCAACACTTCTGGCCTTGTGAATGCAAACAAGTTATGCAACGATACTGTCATTGTATTCTAACCAGCCAGCAAGCTATGATCTTTCTCAAGTAATCTTTTATAGTGTGAGTTTTGATGTTGTGTAAACCTAAACATCAAAGGTTCTGTAGACAACATGTGTTCTGTGACTGTAACAGGGTCGATTTCTTCCATATTGCTGGTGCAGTTCTCTGGGATGAGACTTTGTGCTGGTGTCAAAAATGCATGCAAATACAAGTCATCTGTAATCCAAGAAGGATTGGTGGTATCATGTGTTTTTAAAATCCCTAAATGTGATTTATGTAAAGTTAGGTCATGCTCAATAGCCTACTGTGTTTGTAATACTGTTGACAAAGTTGTGTTGTAACAAGTGAAAAAAGAAGGGTTACTAATGTGTAGCGTATAGGTGTAACATCTTGCTGTAAGGTGTCCCCTGACTTGACATTTCCTTTCAAGTTTTCCATGAAAAAATATTATGTCATGTATTTTATCAAGATGTATTTTATGACATAGTTTATTTTTTTACTTATTACAAATGATCAGATGCAAAAAATGGTATAATGCTGGAAATAAAATAAGACAACTGCAAACATTTTGTTGTTGGTATTCAGTCAGGAATATTAATTTGAAAAAAATAGTCTAACCACAGGGTTCATAAGGTCCACCAGGAACTGTTGTGGTGCTTTCAATCATAGTACATGATCTTATTACTATATAGACGAATAGACGTCATGGTTAGATGATTCCTTGCCTGCTATTTACAAGGTCGAGAATGAACACTGAACCTCAGCTTTTAGGACGAGGAGTAAACTTCATTACAATTCCATATCAACTGAGCAAACTACATCTGCCAAAAAACACCATTAGATATAATCAAAAGCTCCAGAGGACCTACTAAATGGACCTTGTAGTGAGAGTTCCTTTTTTTCTCATCCTTTCATGCTTAAAGTGTCTCAACAAGTCTCTTCATTTGGTGATGAAGATTTACTAAATGGACCTTGTGGTGAGATGTTTTCTCGTTCACTATTTACAAGGTTGAGAATGAACTTTGAACCTCAGGTTTTAGGCCAACATGGGACGAGAACAGCTAAAGAAATTAAAATCTGAACAGTTACTGTTCAGTCTGCACCTGCTGATAAAGATTAGCTATGTGATATGCTTTAGAAAACTTATTAAAAAATAGTCAAGAAGAGGGTCAAGAACGTCATATTTATATTTTCAGCCCTGTATCAGTTCATGCAGATGTCAGTGTATTCCATATTTGGATCGAGCGTTACATAAAGTACAACCACTGGGGACTGAATCGTGTTTAAAATGAGTGGGAGCAGCAGAAACAGCAGGTTAATTATTTATTCATAGCTCGCTCTCAGCTCCACTATTGTCACGGTCAAGGGAATCCGATTCCACAGCAGCACAGTGCGTGCTATGCGTGACGTCAGCACGCGATTGCCATTGCCGTATCGTATTACTTCCTTTGACCATGTTTGGGTAATTGCAGTTGTTTTGTTTCCATAGTGACGGGTGTCATATTTCGGAGCTGGAGTGCAGCGTGTTACCGGAAAAAGTCGAGAAGGACCGAGCGGTTGTTGCGGAGTGTTGTTGAGCATGAACAGGCGAAACTTTCTCATCACGTGCATGATGATAATTGGTGTAATAAGTAATTTAACAGTGCCAGAGCCTTTCTCGGAACAAACAGGGCATCTAATGCCCACAGCCTGTTTGCCATCGGTCTTGAATGAGCAAACAGTGCTTCAAGGTAGCAATACCACATCAGTGATTGCACTTAATGTAACCACATCCAGCCCGAGGGATTACATGTTCATTTACGTATGACAAAAACCTTTTGTTTGACGTTTTACAACACACAATATGTCTCCATGTCTGACTATAGCTCTGAGACATGCCTTCTTTCTTGTCATCAATAGGGGGAGCTACAGAGTGGACAGGAGACAGCAGCAAAACAATAGCCTCTCCTCATTCACTCAGTGGTGTAGCACAAAAATCTAGGCCCTGTAGCCAACATATGCAGTCTCAGTGGGCCCCCTTCCCCTTTTAATATATCCATTGTCACGCTTTTACAAATAACTGATCCAGCAAGTAAACACATCTGTAGTGGTTATTAGGGTCATCAGTAATTAAGTGTTTAAGAGTGCACAGTGTGAAATCTCAACCCTCTTCTCTCAACATGCTGTAATTACTGTGTGTATGTTTCAGAGCACAGTAGCTTTGGTCTTCATTAAACCCTTAGCATAAAACAAATTAAAAAAGCCATTTTACATGGTTCCATAGGTTAAATGTAATAATGTTTTAACTCACTAAGTCCTCACTAGAATCACGTTTTCTTTACAGAATTAAGTTTAATAAGTTTACAACAAGGACTTAACTCTGTCTGTTGCACTGTAGAAGTAGCATGATAAAACATTAGAAACTTAAAGGCACAATGCAAATAGTCCACAAAGCCCCACCTTTATAACTGAAAACACAAGATTACTGCTCCCACTCCTATCTTACTGATTGACTTTTCTTAATACAGACAGTAATGTTAAATAATGACTCAGTCTAAGTTGTTAAACTTCTCTGATATTGCTGAAGGTTGAACTGGTCACATTTCAAGTTATTACATGAGAAACATTGTACATTATAATCATATTAACACTGAACAATACTATAAACAGATTACTTGGTGTTTGTGTGACAAATCTCTGCATGAACTCAGCATGTCTGATATCCTCAGTAACATGAGGCCACTCTGTCGGTTTCAAACTAACTATAAACCAACATCAAACCATTCTCAAATTTCAAAATTGCAATGAACATTGAATTTAAACCTTTTGAGGGTCCTCCCCATGTTTGGGCCCTGGGTACTTCTGTTACTGTTCTGTTCTGTACTTCTCACTGCTACGCCACTGTTTTTAATCAGCCGTTTGTGTGCGAGATGTCTTGGTGCCTGGCTATTTTAGAGTGATGATGGATAGGCCTGTCAACAGCTCTGATGTGTTCTGACTCACTCTCTGTCCACTCCACTTGTTCTGTCAGATTCTGTGTCTAACAGTGTGATGCTTCTCACTTCCGTAGCCTGTTTCAGAGTTGCAAAATAACACATACCAAGAGCTTTTCACAACCAACCATCAAGCCACAGTCCCACTGTCTGAGATGTGAACTGAGGGGAAGGAGTTTTTATTTCAAGGTGGGGACTGAGACCATTGCCTGCTGTTACCCTGCTGCATGAGGAAGTATTTATTTATTTCAAAGTAGTTTAAGTTAAGTTTAAGTAAAGTACCACAAAGTACCACATTCAAAATTTTATTCAAGTGAAAATACAGGTGATAGGACAATAAATGAAATGTACTACAGTATATATAGCAGAATGACCAATGTCAGTGTTAGATTATTGTATAATTTATTATTTGTTTGATTATTATTACTGATATATTATGTACGTCTATGACATATCATGATGTGTAAGCAATATTTCAGTGTTGTAGCTGGCCAAGAGGAAGCTAATCAACAACACATTTAGATTGATTAATCACTTAACATCCAATTTCCCCTTTTATTTCCTCTCAATTAACTTGAAACTCTTAAAATCATCTTATTCCACTCTGTCTGACACACTATGTTTTTTAAGGGCTACACTTTTCCATTAAATGGAAAAGTAACTATAGTAACTAAAATAACTAAAGTAGCTGCCAAATAAATGAAGTGGTATATAAAGAGTAAAAGTACTCAGTAGACAGCTATCAGTGTTATAGCCTATCATTACTCTATCATATTCATATTGTTGGATCTTTATTTTGTTTTCTTTTGGGTAGTAAATCTACTGGATTTTATTAACTGATATTTTGCATTTAAATTCATAACTTGCAAAGTGACTAGTGATGAAATTAAATGTAGTGAAAGTTACAAGTAACTATATATAGTACTTTAAGGCCAGCACAGCCATGTTCCACACACAGGTGTTTTCAATCACTTAGCTGATTAAGGCTCTTCTCATGTGGGCAGGGTCAGACTGCTTGATTGACAGCTCCCCCACTCTCCCTATTATACTGGTCGCACCTGTTTCACCTTTATCTTGATTATTATTATTTCATGAAGTTTGGGGACCTTACATAAGAGCCATGATACTGAAACTCAGCAGAAGGCTAATCAGCCAGACTGTCAGAAAACACCTGTGTGAGTGTGACTGAGGCGGTTCAACTGAATTCAGCCTTCATTCACGTTAATATTTACACCTGTCCTTTTCCTACTGTGAGACCTCAGACTGTCCTCAGTGAAAGAGGCCTATAGTTACAGTTTACACTTGGTGCGTAGAGCTTGTTTTTAATTGGGTGTGAACTGTTTTTGGAATTAGAAAACAGGCCACTTAAATGATGACTTAAGTACACTCTACACTTCCATTTTTTAGAGCTTAGTCTAAGCCTCCATTCTTTTTGTTTTATTGTTTTTTTTTTAAAGTTTTGCTTATACTTGAGCACTGACAGTCTGTATTTATGTAGCTTATGGAGCTGTTTGTCACCTTGAAGTGATGTGAATTCTGGGTTAATAAATAAAATGCAAAACATGGAGAAGTTTGAAGGGCGGTCTCTCTGCTCAAGCAGTAATGTTTCAGGTTGAAGTTACTCCCAGCAGCATTAGCATCCTGTAATATGTCTCACATTCCCTGGTTACAGATCTCTATTCTTCTGTTATTTATTGTTTGCTCACTGTTTCCACCTCTGTTATCTCATCCTCATACACCTCCTGACCACCCTGTTTCCTGCTGGCTGTGATATTCCCGAGGAAGTGCTATATTTACATGGATAAATCAATGTCATACGCGTTTGGGAAGGCTGGGTCGCCACATGAGAGAACAACCTTGTAGCAATACCAAAAATGGTGCTGATATATACAGGAACAATATTGTCAGGTTCCAACTGGAGATGGCACCTCCAGTGATAAGGTAGGAAAAAAACAGATCTTGTGCTGATGTGGTGCTTTATTTTGAAATGACTCTCCTGTTTTTTCCATTACAATTACAACTTACCATGAAATGAACATGTCTCAAATGGAAATGGGGGTTAGGGGTATGGCAGACATGTTAGCTGAGAGCCTGTTGTTGTGAGAGGGAGATGGAGATGAAGAGGAGGAGGGTTTAAAGTCAGCCATAGCACGCAAGTGGTGCACTAAGTGATTGGGAGTCTGGCTCAGCCTCAATCCATTAGAGAGGGCTTGTACTGTACATCTGTCATGTAAATGACTGGGAAGGAGAATATTTCATAGTAAAAAATGTTTCAGTTGAGAGCCCGATCGCACCAATCATGTACAGTATTTTATGTATGTTAATATTTTAGAGTGTTGATGGTGTTTATGCATACATTCATTCTCTGCACACATAAGTCTCAGAGAATGTCATTGTTTAACGTTTGCTGAATAAATTATGACAAAAATAAGAATTTCCATTTACTCCTAAGCTGTTGTAGTCATAAAAAGTGTCATTCTGCAGTCATACACCATTTCCAAATCTAATTCCCACAATGGCAAAATGCAGGGCAGCTATCATACAAGTTTTAAATAACCTGACTCTTTACGTGTTACTACATTTATTTTGATGGGATCTACAACTGTCTGAGCTTATCTGGAAAGAGCAAAAAAAAGGAAGGAAGGAAGCCTATTAAGTGGAGCGTTGGTAAAAATAAAGTTTGTCTATAAAGTCTGCCGTGTGGTGGGTGATGAGTCAGGATTGTGTCTGGTTCGATGGGTATTTCCCAAAGATGTGCTGTTGGATAATACTGTGACAAAAAATTTTAAGTTAAAAATCAGCAGGTTTATATCAGATTGATCCTTTGAAGAAGAAGAGAAAACATGATTTGTTTATATCTTATTTAGCCAGGAATGTAAAGATTATGTTCTCTTAAACACGTTTAAATGTCTTTAAAACAAGTTACTAAGAAGACATAATGTAAAAACAGAATGATTTCTTGTGCAAAAGCCAAAAACCAAAAAAAACCCCAAAACACATTACATTGTTATTACCTTGACATCCGACACCCACACACCAAGAACTGTGCATGAGTTTGGAAAAGATGCAAAACCACAAACTGCTCTCCATCTCCATTCATCATTTGGGCAGCTGTTGGAAACACAAGATTAAGTTTTAATGCAAAGACTTTCTGCAGGACTGGAATAAACCAAAACAAACTTGATATATATATGTTGAGATGTGACTCTGAACTTCCAAACAGAGCAAACTAACTACAAGCTTTAAACACTTTGTCTTCGCCACATCCTGAATCAGACCCTGATTTTCCATAACAGCAATGTTTTTAGTTATCTTTGTGTATCCTTACACGCTCACAACTTGTTTCTCTAATGTTAAAATGCAACTTTTTGTAGAACAAATTAACATGCTTTCATACTTGGTCTGCATATCCAGACTGGTATATTTTTTTTTCAGTGTCATTATTGTAGCTTATTGTTCTTGGCAGGGACAATTCCCTCTTAAAGGCTTAAAGTGCCAAATGGGCCTGCACCATGTGTGTTGATGTACTGAGTGACATCTCCGGCTGCCTTCCTGCAGGCACAGAGGAAATCAGCTGAAAGTCTATACCTGCAGAGGGGGAAACCTGTCTTGTCTTAATCGCGGATGTCCAGCACCCCCCAGTTTTTATGAAATCTGTCTGCTTGTTGGTTCAGTTCTGCTTTATTCTGTCTCCCCTAAAATTTGTCATCTATGTTAATAGTGACCGTGACGCACTATCCCCCTTCCCCTCCCCGACCTCCCCTCTTATGCGAGTCATAAATCACAGCAGAACAAAATTAGGATCTAAAAAAAGGAACACAGTGGGGTATTTTGGTGAGCCTTTAATAACTCAGCTGCTTGTTCTAGGTGGAACAGTTGAGATGGCATTGTGTAAAACCAAACTGCTTCAGATAAAAGTAATAATAACATATAGTAAAGGGTACAAAGGAGAATGGGCTGCTCTTGCATAAGTTGACCAAAATGATGCTAAAACTCACAATTTTATTGCAAATTGGGGATAACACCCCAAAATCTACAAAAATCAAATAGTTAGTGTAGACTTTGACACCATTTATATCGCTATATCATAACCAATGCATTCTAACCATGCAGAACCCTAAACATTACAACAAAACTTTTAAGCGCAAAACACAACTCAGCAGTATATTCCAGGGACTGTTTTCAGTCTTTTAAGAGTATAGCTGCATGTGCCTATAAGGTGCTGTGAACAGAGAGGTTTTAGTTTTCTTGGAGCAGTCCAGTGGGATGTAGTTAGATCCATCCACACTAGAGGGAAGCAGCAGGAAGAATGAGGATAGAGTTTTTTCTGGAACTTTCTGGAATCACCATCTGAAATACTTAAGGCATGATTTTGTGCACATGTGTTGTAGTTTTTCTGTTTTATGAATCAAGTGACATCTTAATTAAGGTGAGTTAGATGAAAATGAAACAGGGTTTTTTATTGCAGCCTAAACCACATGTGTGAATATGCTGCAAGATTTACTGCATCAAAGGTCCTCTACCAGCTGAAATAATAAGATTTCAGCTGTCTCAGAAAAATGATGCTGGTTGTCTCCTTTAAACATGTGTAACAGCTGGGATGAATCTGTGCAAAAAAACATCTTTAAGGGACAAATGACAATGGGGTAGGCTACAGGATGAAAACCAAGGCAAAATAAATGTATTTAAATTGGGTCTTAAAAGTAATAATAATAGTTGGAATAGTGTGGTTTTAAATTCCACTTTTTTCCTCAAGAAAAACAGGAACTGATGACTTATCTCTGTTTGGAAAAAAGGAACATGCAGTGGTTGAATATGAGAGGAACAATCTAAGACTACTGTCATACTTAATCAGACTTTAGTGAAATGGATAATTTGCTTATTCTTGGATTTTACAGTTATTTAACATGTTGTGAAAATGTGTAGCATCTTCTGAAAGCAATCAGGCACTAAACCACACCCTTCCTTGTATTTAAATAATCACAAGTGGTCTGATCAGAGGGGTTTAAATGTATTTTAACTCTAACAAAGACAACAAATAATAGCGTGTGCTGCAGAGTAAAATATCCCAGTGTGAATCCTAAACACAAGTGGTTTGCAATCTGCCGGTTGGGATCAAAGATAGATCTGAGAAGTGATCAGATAAATAAAGGTAGAATAGACATAAAATCACAAAATGACTTTTCTCTAATTTTTCTAACATGTTGTGAAATACCTGACACCCTCACCTCTTCAAACCTCTAAAAAGCCTTCAGATGAAACAGGGTGAAAACTCTCATGTCCAAACTAAAGCCACAACTCGTGAGGAGGGGTCACAAGTAGAGATTTATTTAAGGGGCCTCAAGCCAAAAAGATTGGGAGCAGTGCCACATTAAAGTATTCAATTTCCCCGCACCTACTGTCATTAATGCTTTTGTCAGACTTGATATTCACCACCACTACAACAACACTTTATCAAAAGTTATTAAAAAAAAGTCGCCAACTGGACTGATAACTAAGAGTTCAATTTTGTCACCTCCACCTTCAGCAGCTACAGACTAGAGTGTGTCTGTGTTTATAGGCATCACTTTATTTACTGACTCGTTTATATCTGCGGGCGTGTGTTTCCCCATGTCGGTCTCTCTCTGTCTGTCCCTCCGCCGAAACTTTCCTCTCCTCCAGTCTGTGTATGTTGTTTTTTTTTTTTTTTGGTTGCTAGGGGTGGAGCAAACAAACCTCTGTGTCTTCAGCACCTCCTCTTACATTATTTTCATCCATGCTTACGTCTGGGACAGCAGTTCCGCATTCCCCAGCCCTCACAGACAAGATCGGTACTTAAACGGGGCTGATGCAACGACTTCAGCTAGTCCCCTAAACCGACATCCGACTCCTGACTCCCGCATCGTGCCATTATTATTACTACTGCGGCTTTTTGGACGCACAACAGGTAAGTGTGAGTGTGAACCATCGAGCTGAGTGGTGCCATTGTTTTGTTTGTGTGCTAGTTGTTAGCTTAATATCGGTACAGGCTTTACATATTTATATATTTTTTAATACTTTTCTCACCACGTTGTAGAGACTCCACACGCGTTAGGTTGTTACATGAGTTTAAGTGCGGCACTGGTGTCCGTTAACATCAATATACGAAGCATGTATTTTCACTTCATGTCTGTTAAAAGTGTCTGAGGTTTTTATTAGTTTTAAAGTTTTCCGTGCTCACTGCTCCCACCGCAGAAGTCAATTTGTTGCTGCCACATAATCGTTAAGTACATTGTTGTTGCAACTGTTGTAGCAACTGTCGCCTCACGGCTCGTTATTTACAGAGCCGTTAGCTAAGTTACTCTCCAGCCCGTGTCGGACTGGAGGTATTTTCATCTCGGGATTCTTCACGTCGGTGTTGCTAAACAGGAGAAGTGTCGGTTAGCCTGGTGGAGACGGTTATGTAACGCTATACTCGCCACACATTGTGGGGTTTTAAAGTAACTGCTTCCTATATGCTAACGTCAGTCTGGTTTTGGTGCACCAGAGTACACCGAGTCTGCGAGCTTCTGAAATTTCACTCGGAAGAAACATGTGAATTAAACTTAGTTACAGCTGTACAACGATGCCATTTGTCCGGATCCATTGAGTCATTATAATCGGCCTGTTCATCAACATCATCCACCTCAGTCTAAATCTCAACTTGAAAGCCAACACTTGGCGTGTAACTGCAGGACGGATAACAAGCTAAAAATAGCAGATTTGCAAAAATGACTGATAAAAGATGAAATGATTTAATATGGGTAAGGATTTGGGCTGCTGCTGCTAAAGATTATTTTTTAGCATTGATTAATGTATCTGTTATTATTTTATTTTTAGATTAATCGATAAATTGTTCAGTCTATAAACTAAAAAATTGCCCATCAGTTTGCCAGAACTCAAGGTGATGTTTTTAAATAGTAAAATAAATAACTAAATAAAAGCAGAAAATACTTATACTTGAGGAACAGGAACCAGTGAATGTTTGGTACTTCTGCTTGATAATTAATAAATTAATAAACTATCAAAACAGTTTTTTGGATCATTTTCTGTGAATCAATCAATAAACTAATGTTCAACTCTAACAACGATAATAATACTTCTACTGTGAATAATAAGAATGATCTTATTACTTTATTACAGCGTCCAAACACAGTTGCATCATTGACAGAAGACGACTGACAAGTTTTCTCTGAGTAAGTATTGTGCATTTAAAACAGTTTTACAATTAAGTAATCAGGGACACTGGAGTGTCACCTCCTGCTGCACTAAAAAAAAAGTTTCATCAGTTCATCTTGAAACATAAGCGATGTAAATGAAGTGTGAAGTTTATTTGGCAGCATGTTAGTGCTGCAAGAATGTGCACTCTGATTGGGTTATATCTGTAGTCTTTGCTTCGGCCCATGATAGTGCTCATGCTCAGTATGTTTAACTGTATTTTTATAGATACTGGATTAAGGAACCTCTTTGTTTTTGTGTGCATGTGAGTGTGCGTGTGTGTGTGTGTGTGTGTGTGTGGGAGAGAGAGAGAGAGAGGCCCTCCCATGTGAATTTGCATACTACCAGATAAATGGACACCAGTACAGTACACTTCTTCACCGTCACAGCAGTAGTTTGTTTAAGCTGTGCTGTTGTGATGAACCAGTAAATATCATCTTCTTGTCCACATCAGGGTCTTTTAAAAGATTTACACTTTACTGTGTAACAGTAACTCTATCTAGGCCAGAGATAGTTCCAGTTATCTGCCCTTGTTGGCCTGAAGGTTAAAGGCCAATCATGGAATGGGAAATATGACTGACATCGGTGGATCATGTGCATGTGTGTGGGTTTGTGACTTGCAAGTTCACAGGTTCAGTGTTTTCCTATATAGCGAGTGCATGCTCTTCAGCTGGTGCAGTGCTCACTCGTACAGCTACATGCCACACAGGGGAAACTATTTGTGTGTTTCTTTATATATGCGTTTCCTTTGTGTCTTGATCTGTGTTTGCGTGTGTCTAAGTGAACAAGCGTGTGTTGCAGAGGGTTTAAATGCCCCAGCGCCTGCCCGGGCACATCCGTAGGATGGTTTCCGCATAAATGGAACGCTGCAGTGGATTAATGGGGAAGGGCTGGCGAGCCGACAAGCAGTGCAGGGCCGACAGGGCTGTGAGGCTGGACGTGGGCGCACAGGGTTTATTTTAAGTAGAAATGCCTTCCAGTGCGTCTCCGGAGAGCTGAAATTGCCAAGCTGCACCCCACTACACTGAATAGACAGCAGACGCATTGCAGGCGAGCAAGCCAACTATGCAACAGCCAGGCTCAATGATACTAATACTAATGCTGGGGGAGCAGCTATTCACTGCTGTGGGTATCACATTATCAGTATCACATTGTATTCTCCATAAGCCTTTCCACATGGTTTGTAAAAACAGTGTGTCAAGACAGACTAGATGTACACTGTGGAAGCAAACACCCAAATGTCCAAAGGTGTAACTGAGAGAAGAGCCATTACAGCCTGTGAGCACAGTAAAAGCTCATTTTTAAAAGGCCTATACATAGTTAGTGTTTTCCAGATTTCTTTTGGACCTGAAGCCAGTTGTCTCTGTTTGCACAAAAAACAGTATTGTCACTAAATGTTGACCCAAACATTGACCTTTAGCTGACAGCCTCTGAGAACAACAGAACGATTGAACACATTGTACAGTGTAGACACTGGGGCTTGTTTGATCAGAGCAAGCGTCTGCTTGACGTTGGGCAGATGAGGAAATATCAGAGTACAAAGTATGAAACAGCATTTAAGTGACAACCACATGTTACATAATAATGGTGATTGCTTCAGCAGGGGGGCATTAAATCTAATTTTCTGTGCTTGGTTGACTAATATCTTATTGTCAGGGATTGCACATTACAGTAACGTGCCTTGGATTTGTCATCGACGTGAACTCCATACATTTGAAATAGCCTTCGTCTGCAATTTACATTTTGATTCATGTAATCCATGTCTGAGACAAGCCAAAGCTCTGTGCCCTGCAAAGTCTAATCCTGACTTACAATGTGGAGAAAAATAGTAACATTATAATAATTCAACCAGGACCACCCAGACCGGGAATATAGATGTGTGACTGTCTGAATGGCATGAAGCAAGCCAAGCGGGAATCCAGCCAATGATCACATAGTAATGTTTGCATGAAGGCAGCCACAGTCCTCATGCTTTGTGCATATCTGCAGGTGCTTCGTGTTTGGATTTGCCTGAAAAATTTCTCATTCTTAGGCTGAAGTCTACAATAAAATGCAATCGTTAAACTTCCTGCTCTCTTGTGTAATTTCATTGTGAACAAAAGATAACCTCAGCATGCACTGCAGTGCACTCCAGCTTTGCTCAATGCCGACACATCCAGACTGTAATTGTGAGGAGAAATAAAGCTCGATCATCACTGTTGACAATATTGCGAGGTTAAATGTTCATAATTGTGTTGAATTGCTTTGAGAAAGTTTTGCTTTCTTCACAAGAGGAATTTCAGAAAGGTCCCTTCTGTCTATGGGAGCTGTTGAGCCCATAAGAATGGCCAAAAGAGAAATGAAAGCTGAAATGAAAAGAAATCCCATTTTCTGTTGTGATAATCATTTCCACTCCCACACACGATCACCCTTGAGTTTAATGGCCAGAGATGACCGCAGCATGATCATAACAACAGCCATTATTATGGTGTCTCCTCTCTTCCCCTCCCTGTGTCCTGTCTTGTCCCTCCAATGAAAATATAATGAGAGGTTGGAGGAATGTTGATACTGTATATTTGGACTGTCCTGTCCTCAAGGAAAGTCGGTGCCAACTTCCCTGGTTTCCTCTGAGAATTGCGAAAAGCTGTAACTCAACACACAGCCTGACTGAACGCAGACGGTAATGATGATCGCTGAGACCTTGGCCAGAGATTGGGAGAGTGTGCCTTGGCCCGAGCCTCCATGCTCATTGTTCATTTTCAGCGCTCATGTAGAGTTAGAGCTGTAGAAGCTATTTGCAAGAGTTTTGCAAGATGCTGGTGTGTGGGCTGCGCAATGCCTTATTAGTCCAAAATTAGACTTAAATAAAGTACACTGACAAAAAGTGGTCAAATAGCATCTTGGAAAGTGTGCATGTCTTTCCCGTAATGCCATGATCCTGTGATTTAAAGTTGAACAGTCTGGCAGTACAAAAATGTAACTTTTAAGTCTCAGGGAAAGATAAATTGGCCTGCAAATACTTCTGACTCCTGCTTTCAGTCACCAAAACAACTGCGCTGGTAGAATTTTAGCTGTGAGTGGTCTCCTTCTTACAAAGCAACAGTATATAAAGATAATGAGTAGCCTTTGAAATGCCCCTGTAACCCCCCCATACCTCTCCTTCACCGTCTCTATAGGGGTTGAGAATAATAGGGCCTCCAGTCGTGCTGCTGGCGTTTGGTAAGGGGCTGAATTCCTCAGCACAGCTAATTGCTCTCAGGAATGACTCAGGAAATGGACACATTTGGTCGAGCTGAGGACAGATACAGTATGTGAGCAAAGAAACCAGCGGATTGTGCATATATATAGGCTACGCTGACTGCCTGCACGTTCACATATAGGAACCCTCACATGCACACTCCTGACACACTCTCTTCACAAACACCTCGAGCTATCCACAGCTCACATGCCGTTAGATTGGTTTTGGAATGAAGCCAGAACCTGCGTTGAGTACGGTCCTATATTTCATAACTAATACATGACATTTCTGCTCCCCGCCCTTGGCTTCAGCTTGTCTCCTCTCAGTTAGCCCTGAGAGGCTACGGTGCCCACACTGCTGCTGGGCTGTGTAGGTGTCTTTGTTTGAGGCCAGTGTGGGCCTAAAAGCTGTGGCACTGGCTTTTCTGCTCGACTGCAAAAGCACAGTAACCGCGTTGCATCATCAAACGCTGACCACTAATCCTCCGCTGCAGGCTGCTGCTGACAGAAAAAAAAGAGCAAAATACCCCTGTTTTGAAAAATGTAAAAATCATTTTGACTCATGCTTTTGGGTATAATTACGCCCTGCGACACATGCATCAGCAAACTTTCCCTCTGTTGTAGAGATGAGACTTCTTCAGGGTTTCACGTCTCGAGGCTTGACAGGGTGTCGAATTTGCAAGGGGGATTTTCAGTCACTTGTGTGGCAGGTTGAAAGCAACGGAACAGATTAAATATAAAACCAACTTTTTACTCAACTTAAAAGTCAAGCTTAATTCAAAAGTGAGGCACGGCGAGAGTCTGTTATGTCAGTTTACAACAGGACTATAAATTGTCTGGAATGGTGTGTAGCTCACTTTTATGTCTCATAATTGATAGGCATCTTGCTTCACACATCATTTCACCTTTGTTTCGGAGGCTGCTGGCAGAGACACCTCTGTGGTTTTTTGATTCATGTGATCTGATGTCATGCTGACAAATATGAGGTTTATATATGTTTATGTGCAGTGGAGTATTACTGTGTGCCTGTGAGTGAGTGAGTGAGTGTATGTGTGTCTGGCGAGGTCTGGCCTCAGCTGCATGTTTCAACAAGCCATAGTGAGGAATGGGGGCTTTCCTTGCAATATGTCTGACTGAGCAGGGTTCAGTTACAATGTACTGTGCATGAGCCAGTCTAATAGACATAAAATAAGATTATTCCTGAACCAACTTATTTTTTCAGCTTCAGTTTCCATTGAAAAATCTTGTTTGTCCAGGATGGAGCCTAATCCGAGTCTGTAAACCGGTCCTGGGTGTCTGGCCAGCTTGGATATTGGACTCCATTTTGGCTCTGAAAGCGATTCGCTCAGTCATTCCTAATGGGCGCTTCAGTTCCTGTGGCTGTTTTCTCGGCCCAGGGGTTAGTTTGGATTGCATCTTTTGAATTCCAGTGCAGTTATTGGTCAGCAATGAGCAATATAAGAAAAAACATAGCACACGCTTTAGTCACATGTTGAGATCTCCTGCTCCTGTTGGCCCGGTTTCTGGATAGATTTAGTAAAACATACAGATGTTTGGACGCAGGGAGACACATTTTTGCAAGTTTACACAGGCCACTGCTCTATCAAAGGCTTTATAGTAAATGCAGCGGTTCAGTCACTTCAGTCCAACAATTTATACTATTGTCTGGCTATTTTTTAACAGCCTTCGCTCTCATTCACCCCTGGATCAGCTGCCATATGGTTTGCCTTGTTCTTAGACAGCCTCTCTGCAGAATGAGAAGACCTTGGCACCTTCCATTCCTCCACCCCTCTCGGGAGTTGCAGAGAGAGGGAATTTTGTCTGCGAGAGATTTTTACCAGGGCTGTCTTGTTCTTTTCCTCTCCAGCAAAAACAACAGGCTGCTGCCAAGTGCAGTGTAAATGGGAGTATACATACAGTGGGAGAGAGGGAGGGAGGGAGGAGAGGGAGAGAAAGAGGGAGAGAGGGAGGAGGGTAGTCAGGATTTAAATAATAAAATGCCTCATTGGACACTGGCTCCACACACCAACTTGTCCTTGGAGCGAATAAATCATGCAAACTGAAGGTGGTAGAGAACAGCTAAAGAGTAGTATAGATATTAACTGAAAGACTTTTGACTATTGCACTGCATCTTCCTTTGTATCTACTATAATATCTCTAGTTTCATTAATACAGGAAGGTTAAATGGTGCATGTAACAATCTTCCTCAAAAACAAAGCAAAAAAAACAAACCGTGAGAACAACTGTTTGTGGTTGTACAACTGCTTTAAACTTAATTTGCTTGACTGTTTTGCATTGGACTTGCTACTCATCCCTGTCGGTTGTTAAAATAATGGATTATAATATAGATGATACAGTATAGGGAACAATTTTAAGCAGTGTGGGACATGTATATCTCTAAGGGTACACCAGTTAGCAGAGAAACAAAACTACTGAAGGTCAGAAGTGACTTCTTCTTGCTATAAGTGAGCAGGTTTGGTCGCTGTCATGCACGACTGTAAACCCCAGCCCAACTGTAAAAACACTCCGAGACCAGCCCATAAGCAGGGTGGAGTACATTAGAATAGAGTTACATAACCCTGCTTTTTTCATTACCTCCTCTGTGGCTTTTGTAATAGCGCAAGTCTTTCAACTCTGCAAAAAAATAAAAAATAAAAGTAGCTAAGAAAGAAAAACTCGGTATAACTTACAATACGCTCGGCCTGTCAGCTAGTCACCCACCAGCAAAGTCAGCTGTTTTCACAGCACCTCACAATACACGTCTTTGTTGGTTCCATATGAGAGGGGCTTTGTTCGGTTTGTGCCCAACCTGTAGAGGTTCAGGTTTGGCCAAATACTCAGGAGGCAAATGTGAATTAAGCTGTTAAAGCAGAAGTCACACTGATATCATCAAACTTTTTAAAACTCCTCCTAGCTTTGGCTCTGGCCAGTAATCCTAGCTCCTGTCTCTGTGCCAAAGTTACTGAAGTATCAGTTGTTCAGTTGTATCAGTCATGCAGAGGTTTTGTCAAAAACAGATTTGATCCATCCAGTGATGCTGCCTCTACACAGTGCAACATTTCTTCAACAGAAAATATGAAATGACAGCTGATTGTTTGCCTCTATCATCCTTACCTTACCCATTTACTTACTGGACTTTTTTCATTTTACTTATTTTTATTTATTTTTCTACACAATTACTGAACGGAAAGAGAAACAATTTCATGTCAGACTTCTTGAAAATTCTCTATTCTCACTCTGCCTCTCCTCAGAGATTGCAGGGATGGGCAGGGTAGAGTCGGTTCATGTTACACTGTTCCCATCTGTAACATTTGTTTTTTATTTGGCCATCAGAAGTTTTCCAACTCTTGGTCTTACAGTAATTAGAGAGACGTCTTAATTCTCCAGCCACTTCCTTTAGGCCCGCACAAGTTCTCCTTTTTCTCCTCTCTGCCCCTCATTCCTCCCTGATTACATTAAGAAGTGCTGCGGTCAAACCCTCTAAACTACCCAAAATTGTTGAAAGAGGGTGGCGGTGGAATGCATGAGTGTTACCCGCTCTGTTTGGACACAAATGCTTTTCATATCCTTTGAATCCTCTTTACAAGAACTGAAATGAACACTCAAGATGAAAACCCACTGGCTTAATGGTCAGAAGCTTAAGTGTAGAAGATAGACCTCGGTTTGTGTGATCAGACCGAAGGGGTTCATGGGTTCTCTTTGCATGTGAAGATACAGAGATGAGTGTGTCGCTTCTGACAGTGTGAAGTTTGTTTTCTCACCGGCTGCTGACTAAGAAGATAACACAGCTGTCAAAGCTGTCAACGTTTGAATGCATTCTTGGAAATGGCAACGTGTATTTAGAAAAATGTTTGATGACAAGAACCGAAGACAGTAAATTAATCTTTTTTTTTTTTTGAAGGAATGCCAATACTAAGATCATAATAAAGATAAAAGAATGTCTGCAATATGATACTTGAAGACGGGTTTAATTGCATGGCTCATGTTACAACCAGATACATTTTCTTTTTTACTTATGGGACCCAGGTGTTTCAGTGCATATACTTGTTTCTACCACATCTTGCAGAATGAAATGCGAATTGGTTAGTTTAGGCTAGAGGTCAATTAAAACTAGAATAGAGATGTGTAAACTTTGCTTTCCAGAGAACGCACTAAAAGTTGCATTGAATTTTCATAGTCAGCGAATTCTTTTTTTATCCTTGGTTCTTTTGTTCTAATTGTTTCTACTCTTCCTCTTTTCTCTCTCTCCCTCTTTCCCCACAGCGGCGGTGGTGGCCGTGTCGGACATGATGCCGGGACAGATACCTGACCCTTCGCTGGCGGCGGGCTCCCTGCCCAGCCTGGGCCCGCTGGCGGGCATCTCGGCCACCACGCTCACTGATCAACTCAAGCTGGCTGACTTCCGGCAGCTGGGCACCATGTTGTCCCCACTGCATTTCCTGGGGAGGTTGGGGAAGAGGCCGCTCGCCATCAAGACAGAGGTGAGGAGGAAGAGAAAAGAGGAGAAAGGGGCAATGGTGCAGAAGTAGGGTGTGTGAAAGTTGTGTAGCAGGTCAGAGGGCAGAAACAGGGAGTGTATTAGTGCGAGGGTGTTTCAAAGCCCTCCATCAAGGACCAAATGATTCATTTAAATATCACTTGCAAGGCATTTGGCATTATGTTTGTAATCTTAAATGATTGTAAGAATAAGAAAGAGCTGCAGATAATGACTCAAGTGACTTTTTATGCCGGTGTTGCTCAGAAACTGTTTTTACAGGAATTAGATTTATATGTCTGACAGCTAATAAACATTTTTATTTGCTGAAAGAAAATGTATTTAAACTTATTATTAAAAAGTTAAATATTGTCAATAGTTGTAGATGCATTGGTCTGAGCTGGTTATAGGACGATATAGGAAATAGCTGGATTAAAATTGCAAGTATGCATATGTTATGTGAACATGACAAACCAACCCTGCCCCCTCTAGTGCTTGAAACAAGAATTACTGTAGAGCCTGAACAACATAGTTTTTCCATCAATGTGATTGAACTATTGTTGGTTGTAGGTTTATGCCATTTGGACAGTAATTGTCAGATTTCTTCCATATAAAACAGAGTCATATAATGTTTATGTCTTTATATTAACGATGCTCTGTGTTTGCAGATGGATGAAGATGAAGAAAGAAGGAAACGGAGACGAGAGAAAAACAAAGTAGCAGCAGCACGATGCCGAAACAAAAAGAAGGAACGGACTGACTTCCTTCAAAGGGTGAGTTCATGACACAGCATTGCATACTAATGAGCACAAGTAGAGCAGCTGAGATTAGCCTGATTTAAGTTAACTTGAGCAGCTGATTTATGTTCAAGCCATCCAACCCAATTCCTAGCCAACATGATCAGGCTAATTCAAGCCTGGTTTAAACAATCTGGATTACTGCACATGCACAACTTAAAGCCATGGTGATCGTCACTATTCAGAAGTGTTAAAAACAAAGTGACAGGCATAAGATTAACAATTCAGTGTCTAACAATTCACCGTCTCTGTTCAGGAATCGGAGCGTCTGGAGATGGTGAACTCGGAACTCAAGGCCCAGATCGAGGAGCTCCGTCTGGAGAGGCAGCAGCTAATGGTGATGCTCAATCTCCACCGGCCCACCTGCATCGTGAGAACCGATAGCGTCAAAACACCTGAGAGCGAGGCCAACCCCCTGCTGGAGCAGCTGTCCACTGACACCAAGTGAAACCAGGAAACCAGGGACACAGAGTCCCTGAAGCCCTACCTAGCACCACCGTGGCAGCCATAAAAATGAAAAGAAAACTGGCAATACATTTCTAAATAAGCACTTGAGCTCCAAGCTGGAGACTTTTGGAGACTCTGCCCGAGGACTTGAGGTTGTAGGGCATCCTCAGTACTGCTACATGAGCTGGCTCTGTCCATTGGAAGACTGGAAGTACCCAGTTTCATCTCTGCATTAAGAGTTGTTGTCAACACTTAATGCGCTGTGCCTAGTTGTTACTTCAACCATCTCTACATAAAGGGACCAATGTAAACCGTAGAGTACGACTGGAAACTACGCTGAGGAAACACTAATATCAATATGGTGCTCTGTTACAAAAGCCCTGAGTAAACTGTGTGGCATTGTTTCAGTGCAGAAGCCCACAAAGGCTTAGTGTCCTGCAGTTTTCCTTTGTATGCTAGTCGAAATATACAGGTGTAGAGTTTTTAGGATACAATACTCAATACAAGTACACCAAACTGAGTAGAGTTTTTTTGTTTTTGTAATGTTGATTTCTATACCCTGCCTTGACGATGGCAGATACCGGTTGATCCGATTTGTGGTGACGCTGGCGTCATGAAAAGCACATATACACAAAATGTTTACACCCTTGTTTTTTGTACTTGTTGTCTGTCCATTATTGTACTTGTTTTATACTGCTTTGTATACATAAACATATATGAAATGCTTGTTAATCACTTGATGTGATTTGTCTTTTCAGTCTTTCCAGTCTGTCTCCGTCATGTTGCGCTGTCAAACAGCTGTGAAAACAAGCAGAAATCTTTTCAGCTGAGCAGTATTTCAATGTCTGTTCTGGACCTGTATCTGCTATGTAAGACTCTGTTACCCTGAATAGATTAAATTTTATTTTCTAACTACAAGAAAGAATATGCCTTTTTTCTCAAGTGAAATTAATCAGTCATTTTATTTGTTCTCATCAGTCATGGTGAAGAACCAAATGACAAAAGTTGTGCAAACATGTTTTCTAACAGCTGAGGCACATTGCCAAAGTCAGGGATTTTCTTTAATTTGCAAAACTCAGAAAAGGTCATTCATGCTTTTATTTCTCCCAGACTCCCTTTGTTCAGAACTCAGCAGGAGAAAAATCTCCCATATGCAGAACAGACAGCTAATAAATGTTTGACAGGATACATCTTAGAAGTTATTTTTATCTTATTTTTTTATTAAACATTTTATTTCCTACTTAAATGTTTCTCAACGGATTTCCTGATCATTATGAAATTATAACTTCATTTTAATTTTACTTCCATTTACCCCCTTATGTCTTTAATATTTGTTTTTACTAAAATATGTTAAAGAACACTTTGTAGCATTGCTTTTAGTGTTTGTTATTTAAGAATTATTATTGTAATTGTATTCAAATTACAACACCGGTCAAATTGTTGCTGAAAGAGTAACAATCAAGATCCTCATTTTAACTACACTGACAGACATTTACTTTTGGACAGCAAGAAATATTCACCATATGGGACACGGTCTTAAAAAAAACAACTTTTTAAAATTTTATTTTCCACATTCACCCGTCATACTTGGATGGAGAAAAAACACTCTTGCTGGATCCCAATGATAGTCTAATTAACATATTCAGTCATATTTGTGAATTTATGAAACCCTGCTCAATATATTGATCTTCAGACATGAGGCTGCTCCTGCATGGACTAAATAAAAAGCCAAAAAATAACTTGCAATAGAGTTGAATGACCTCTGACAGACCTGACAGAACAAAGAAAGAGCATAAAGGTTTGTCGTGGTGGAGGCTGAGATGTACTGACTTGTATGTATTGTATTGTAGATACAGTGTTCGTATGAAACTGTTCACGGTCAACGGCTCCATCTACTGGACATTTTTGTGAACTGCACGATCCGCACTATGATGAATCAGTTTGTCTTCACAAGATCATCGTGTAACCTAGAGAAAGATTCGTGGTCAAGTAAAGTAAGAAAAACATAACAGATCGCTTTTCCGTATAGCTCTACTTCCTTTTTCTTTTTTTAATCGCTATTTTTGTTGACTACATTCAACCGGATTTCAACCGACGATTTCACTGCCAAGCAACCACCTTTGGCTTTTCGCGGTTAACGGTCTTTTTTTTTAACACGGTCACTTCAGGATTGACAAAACTCTTTCAGGTAGGTCGTGACTTTCTTTACCTTGAACAACAACGGCAATTTTACATTTCTGTTAAACGGAGAAATTAATTTTCAGTACAAATTCAAATTAGTTTTAATTTTGGGCGGATTTAAAAGTTTCCCCCGTAGGGCCGTTGGAATTGTTCTGACGGTCATCTCCTTCATGAAATCGACCATGAAACCTCAGTGTAACGCTAGTCCCTCAGTGTCTATCAAGAAAAACCTGGTTCAACCTGTATTTCTACAGTATTTCACTCTGCCACAAAAGACTTGAGCAAGGGCAACACTCACCTCTCTCCTGCGGGTGTGTTGAAGGGAGGTCTCGGGTTCCTGTAGTGCGATGGAGCAGCTTGAGGAGGACAGTGCAGTTCTCCAGCGCAGAGAAGGAGAGGAAGAAGCGGAAGAGCAGCAGCCATCTGATCAGGCAGGTCAGGATGGGACGGAGGACCAGGAGAGACACACCCAGGGCCCAGAGCAGGACAGTGGTGAAGAGTGCGACACTGATCTGGAAACAGAGGGTAAGTTAAAATGACCGTGTTGTCCAGTAATAATGGATGCCCCCTCACCTCTTCTCCAGGGTATCATCTGAAGGTCTTGAAAAGTTTTTAAAAAAAGCATTGATTTCAGTTTCCTAAAAAATGCCAGATTGTATTAAAAAGTCTTAAGCTAATAAATATTTATTTCTAGCCTTGCTGCAAAATCTCCAGTACCAATGTTTAAGACCTCCAATGTTATGTAAAATTCATATGTGGACAGTATACAGTAAATACGTTATTTTTACATCCATCCTTACATCCATTTATCGATCAATTTTATGCTGTTTATCCAGGTCAGTTGTTGGAATTATTGTTATATATCCTTTTTTCTGTTTTGTCCCACTTTCTTTCAGATGCCACAGACAAGAGACAGAGTTTGTCCTGTGCAGAGGTGTACCTGCAGGCCTGCCAGCGGATAGGGACCGCTCCTATTCCCTCCTTCCTCCGTCACTTGAGTGAAGCCAACCTCAACCTGAACCACTATAGTGTGGGACCTTTGGGGGCCAAAGCTCTGGCCATAGCTCTGCAAGTAGGGGCCCCTCAGTCCTTTCATCTAGAATTCTAGATACTCACTTTAATGAAAAAATGTGTTCAATGATCACCAAAATTCGATTGCTGTGATATTTATAAGCTAAGGATATGGTTGGCCTTGAGACAAGGGGAGGTTGATTCATTTAGTTTCTAATTTTCTAAATGTTTCATGCATTTTATAACTGATCGAGAAAAACAGATGTAGAGAGAAATGGGATTTGACATTTACTTCTCGAATGTTAAGTATTTCTTGTCATTCGTTTAATGTAATTTTGGTTTTACTATTTTCGTGTTTTAGATTAACAAATACATCACCAACCTTGAGCTGGAGGACTGCCTACTAAAAGCACAGGGGACTCGCTATCTGATGGAGATGCTTCAAACAAACATCACCATTCAAAGTCTGGTAACTGTTCTAAAAGTATCACATCAGCTCTGAAAAACCTGCCTGTTATTTACAAGTTGAGTAAAGATATAATCCTCTCAAAACCAGAGCTCATCTGCAAGAGTAATGGTATCTTTTTTTAAAATAAGTCCATCTAGATTACACTGTTTTTGTTTTTTTTTTGGTCTCAAAAATGACTTAATATCTTTACTTCAGAATCTTTCCAACAACCAGCTGCACCTTGAAGGAGCAGACATCATCTCCAAAATGCTGTCGGACAACTATTACATCAAATCCCTCAAACTCTCAGGTGCTCAGCAAAGTCTTTTACCTCTCAAGATTTTTTTTTTGTAGAGCTTTGCATAGAGAGTAGAGTTTAAGAGTGCAAGTGAGCTTTTTTGACCTAGTAATTCAATTATTTTCCTCTTTATTCCCCTAGGAAATTATTTTGACGATTCTGCTGCTAAATACTTTGCAGATGCTTTAAAGGTCAGTCTAAAGTACTGAATGTTGGATCCATGTGGTGAATGAGTATTTTAACACCTACACATTTCTCACGTTCACATGATAAATCAAACAACTGTCATATCTAAATGTGCATTAACATTTTCTGTCTTATCTTACAGGGTGACTATGTGATCAAAGAACTGGACCTCAGTCACAACAAGTTTTATGCCACAGGAGGAGAGCACCTCGGTCATATGTTAGGTACAGGAGTTCTGGTTTTACTGAGACTTTCATTGCAGAGACTTATTCCTTTGAATGAATATACAAAGACGTAACCTAATTAATGTGGAACAAACAACACACAGATATTACACATGAAAGACCAACTGAATTAACTTTTTCTGTAAGAAAACATAAACTATTCTAACTATTTACATTTTTCAAAGGAGGGTACAACTGTTTTGGGACTGTTAACTTTCTTGGTGTGTTGCTGAAAGTAGAACTCCAGACTCCAGTGTAGCCTGCATGCACTGACAGAGGGAATTTGTTCCTACTTATCTATAGTCTGACTGTTTAACCTACGAATGTCGATACATGAAATTTTCCCTTCGTTCTCTTCATTTTGCCACATGATGAAAGCTGTCAAGAGGTAACAATTTAAGCCCTCACACACATACACACATATATAAATATATGTATAGACTGTGTGTGTGTGTGTGTGTATATACTGATTTCTCAGCAAAAATGAATCAGTTTGACTTTAAAAAACTTAATGTATAGTTTGTGGGTTAAAATTTCAAACATATTGTGACCTTTTAAATTTGTTTCCCCTTTCTCTAAGCCACAAATGTCGGTATTGAGGTCCTAAATCTAAACTGGAATTGCATTCGCATGAATGGTGCGGTAGCTTTGTGCGCTGGGCTGAAGGTGACAAACATAACACACTCACACACAAACCTTCGGTGTGTACTTAATGGTCTGTTTCCTAACAAATCCGTGTGTCACTCACACTTTTCTTACCTCAGGTAAACTCGACTCTGAAGGAGTTGCATCTGTTGGGGAACGGTTTCAGTCACATTGAGGTGGAGTCACTGGGTCAAGCACTGAAACAAAACAGCACGCTGGAGCTGCTGGACCTCAGCTGTAACCGGATATGTGATGAGGATGTGCCACGGCTTTGCCACGGTCTGGCCTTCAACGACACTCTCAGGGTCCTCAAGGTGAGCGGATGAAAGGGTGAATCCTGGAACACTTGTATTAGCACTGGTGACGAGAAACTTTTTGCATTCCAAGAAACTGTAGATTCACCTGTGCTAAATGTAACATTTTGAGTGTGTGTGTATGTTTGTTCAGCTCTCCCAAAACCCTATGACAGAAGTCGGAGCTCTGACGCTGCTCCAAACAGTTAAAAACTCAAAATCAGCATTGGAGGAGATCGATATTTCTGTAAGTGCTGCAAAACAAATATTAGCTCAGCATATGAGTAGTATAAATATGAAGTGTTCTTCTAAGCTACTAACGTGCCTGTGTATGTGTGAGAGCAGACAGTGTTTGTGTGTGAGGCCTTTGTGGAGCTGCTGGAAGTGGCCCGTCAGAGGCGTCCTGCTATGGATGTCCGCTACAGGGTCGGGAGCTCTGTCAGCAGGAACTTAGCTGCCCTCAAGGTCTTTCAGGTCAGTGGTCTGAAAGAGAGAGAAACTTGGAGAGGTGGAAATGAACAAAACATTGAATGTTTATGCTCACGATCTTATAAAAAAGTAAATTGTGCCGTGTATCCTAAAGACTTTTTTTAATGTTTTTAAATATATGACCTCTTAGGAAATCCCTACTTGTCTGTTATGTGCAACAGATGCTTGAGCAACAGTTTTATGAAAAAAGGAACTGAAATGTTTTCAAAACTGAATTTTTTTTAATATATATATATATATATATATATAGAAATTCTTCAAACAGCGAAATGAGAGCATCATGGATTTCTTCCAGGCTTTGGATAAAGAGGGAACCATGAAAGTCTCCACTGCTGCCTTCAGGAAGGCTGTAAAGGTCAGGCTGATAATCTCTCACACAGCACTGATAACGTCATTTACTAATATACACTATTAATTAATAGCATAAATTTAACAAAGAAAATCACTTAACTAAGCTGCAGTATTCAGATTTTCATTCATGTGTGGCTGTGCATTGGAGAAAATGAAGTTGTCCTGCGTGCAGGAAGCTAACATACCTCTGGATCAGCGACAGCTTAATTGGTTGGTCAAGAAGTTTGACAAGAAGTGCACGGCCACCATAATCTACAGGTTAGTCTGTGAACTGATGTATGTAGGATAATTATAATAGAGCTGACATCCAATATTTATCATGCAAAGCAAACAAAAAAAGTGCTTGCTGGAAAAATCCATTTTGCTGGTTGACATGATGTAAGTTGAGCTGGACCAGCCACCCACATTAAAAAAAATAAATAAAAACATGCTTCCACTGTGGTGTTGAACCATGCACATCGCTTCAGATCTGTTCGCTCGGGTTTTGAAAAGCATGATAAATTTTGGATAGCACTTTGGTTAAGTGCGAAAACATGTTTTTTTGCAGAGTGTAAAAGTTCATTCTTGATCTTGGATAATTGTAGTTTAGACTGAGTGAATGATCTCAAGGTCTACTTATGAGCTTTTTCTCGAGCTTTCAACCACATCACGTCTCAGTCAGCACAGCTCAGTTGTTATGGAGGTGGGGGTTTTTTGTCAGGGTCAATTGAGGTTTCTCCCATAAGACTTTTTGAACACGCTAGTGCTTCAATCACTTAATAACTTCACACAAATCACCCACAAACATTTTCAGAAATTGTGTTGAATGTCAGACATTAATGTAATATCCAGGTTTCTCTTAGAGCTGTCCCTCTTTGTTGCAGTCAGTTTGATGAGCTGTCATAGATCCAGACGTACAGGATCCAGGATATAAGATAATACGAGACGTCTTTGAATAATAGTTTAAACATGTTATTTTGATGTTGTTCTTCATATGCTATAAATATTGCTTTACAAAACCACTAGCTGCTCCATTTTTGTCATACAACTCTCACAACAGCACAATGTAAAATTTTGCAAAATATAGCACTTATATGAAGGAGTAGCTGACATCACAAACCCAGTGGTATTGTGCACAACTGACAGGTGTACCCTAACAACAGCTTCCTGTGACGTCAGTGATGCCCCCCCCCCCTTCTTCTCCTACTGTAGTTCTTACCTCAACCCAATTCTGTCCAGTGTGAATACTTGAACCTCTGACACCAACCAGCTGCACCCACCTCAGCACTGCCAGCTGTGTCTGCGGCTGGGCCACAGGGTCCTCTGCCTCATTCTCCCCATCCAAAAATAATCTTCTGGTATGACAACAGAACAAGAGGAGGAAGAAAAAGAGAGCTGGCGTCCATATCAAAGGACCGAGAGGAGAGAAAGAATAGGGCCAGATGCAAGCTAGTTGTTTCGCCACATCGGTTAGCTTTGAATGAACTGGCCTGTAAAGGAAACAGCACACTTATGAATATGCATGTGCAGCATTACTTATGCAAGCCCTGCGGAGTGGGATTATTAAGGGTGTGCTGATGAATTGTCTCAAGGTGTGATATCCAACAGAGCAATCTGTTTCAGTCAGGTGGCTCCAGTGGTAACCACAGAGGAGACAATGACATGACGCACCGTCTCACCTGCATACATTCTGTGTATCTTGTGAAAGCGGCTTAACACGATGATATTATGGGTCATCAGGACAGGGAAAACCTTTTTTAAACCAAAAGCCCATTTCAGTTATAAGCATTTATTAATTTTTATTTTCAGTTCTTGGAGGACTTTCATATCACCACTGTGCAGTATATCTAAAGACATAATAAAGAAGTCTAATCAGGTACATGTGGAATTTTTTGGTTTGTTCCAGATGAAAGTTAATCATTACGCAGTGATAACAGATGCCCAGCTGTAAAATGAATTACATACTTGATAAAGTCCTTGTTCATTGATTCCACAGCAGTAACTACACCCTCTGGTGTAGGAGATGTGTCACAGTCACTGTCAACAAAAGCAAGGCAAATTTATCCGTATAGCACATTATCATACACAGACGTCGTTCAGTGTGTTTAACAGAAATAAAAGAAGCACAGAAATAGAAGCAAAAAGCATCATAAAAAAACAGCATAATAACACAGAATATTACATAAAGTGAAAAATTAAAGATTAGATGAAGGCATTGGAGAATAGAGCAGTTTTTAGCTTCTTTTTAAAGCCAGTTACAGTCTGGGCAGATTTGATCTCCATTGGGAGCTGGTTCCAGCACTACCAATCACTTGGTGCCTCTTTCATTTCATTATTCTTTGTACATGCATGTGACTTATATCAAATCACAGGCTTTGACAGTGGAATGTGGTTGTTGAAGGAAACGCCACCAGATTCAATTAATGTGAAACCTAGTAGTCCCTTTAGCACTAAAGACATGACATGAAAAATCCCACTTCCATTCCAGCCTTATGGCTTCAGTGGGTTTAAATGGTGGCAACATTTGTGCAAGGTCACACCAGCAGATTTGATTCTCAGTGTTGATTATATCCCTTTGAGCTGTATCAGCTCAGTGAGTGATAATAATGATTAGATAGCACTAATCATTAGCAGAATATTTGCTGTGTGGCCCTGTGAAAGATGTACAAGACTAAATTCAGATCCATTCCAGTGTTTCAATACTTCAGCACAAACAGTTATTTAAACACTAAAAAACTAAGCTTTGCCAAACTATAAAGATTTACCTTATTTAAAAGTTACTGGTATTTTTGAACAACTGTTTCTGTGGAAATACACGCAGAAGCTACATTGTGTTCATCATCAGGTTTAGACTGATTTGTCCGTTCTCATAACCATTAGTAATATATGGATGCAGAAATTGTGCTTTAGTTGTTGAGCATCTTCATTTAACTGGAACTAATAAAGCTATTTCATTCTTTTCTGTCAATATCTGTTTGGACAACTGCACCCAGATAGAAAGCATATAAACACAATACACCCTATGCAGTTGTGCTTTTGATTGGGCCCATTTGTTGCTGTAAAGCTATTGTTTTTAACCCATAATTAAAATGATTAATTTGTCCCTGTCTGCATTCATAGAGGATGTGTACACATAAAAAAGATTGAATTATCTAATTCAATCCTTAAAACTACAACAGGATTTTAGAATAGGTTGCATACAAGAGCTGTGCATTTGACAATATGTGTGAAGATGTTCAGCTACATGAAGAGTACTTTTCATGCTCTAAAACTTTAAAGGGTGTACTTAACTATTTTAAAGTAAAAGTGTTTGAGGATAAAAAATAAAAAATGGCACACTTTCCAATTGGACTAAAATACAATTCTTAACATAATGACATTCATATAATTAGCTTATTTAAAAAGAGAAAAAAAATAACTGAATAATTTAGGTAAATTATCTCTCTGATGTGGCTTAATGAAAACAAACAGCTAGCTGCCAATGTCTAATGGGCCATCTTTCATGTGAATGGACACAAAGACTTAAAACCCACATCTTATTGAGCAGTCCAATTGGAAATTCACAGATTTGGCCAAATTTTGAAGACGAAACAAAAACCTGCCAACAAACCCTTCAGATATCTATGCACCCACTGGCACACGCTGCCAATTAACATGATCTCGAAAGCGCTAATGGAATCTTGAGCGGTAATAAAAGTAAATAATTAAATTAAAGGAACCCTTGTATCATTGTTTGCTGTGTTCAGGCCCATTAGGACCTCCAGTATTCTCATGGTAATCTAATGTTTGGGTTTTTTGTCTTCTCATAATGAATTCTGTGTTTTTCCTCCAAACACCGTTGCTCAGACATTTGTGTAGGTGCTGGCAGAGAAACAAAGACGTACATTAGGAGCCATTGTGCCCTGTGATTATTAAAGTAAACAGAAATACTGAAGGGGTATCATACACAGCTGCACACACTTGAGCCCATGTTTGTGAAGTGGGAGAAAGGGCCAAGCAACCCTTAAGACTTTGTCAGAGATAATCCCATTATTTGGAGCTCCTCAAGAGCCGAGCGGTAGGCCGGCTAATGAGGCTTTGAAGATCAGTCTCTGGCGTAGAATTCATCTGCAGCAGAGAGTTTGGGAGCAAAATAGATTTGGCACGAGATAAAATGCTTCAGCCAACATCGACCGTGAAGACGTTCCCTGCCTCAGCCTTGTGCTTTTATTTTGCCGTCGTCAGATTTCTAAATTCTTTTCAAAAAGAAATTCTGTTCTGAGCTTAGATGAAATGTGTAGTCAACAATTTCTCAGGTGCAGTGTATGCTTGGCATTACATGAATCATCATAGGGCTGCAAATAACAATTAGTAATCAGATTATCAATTGATTGATCTATGGAATTTCAGAAAATAGGTAAAAATGCCCATTGCAGTTTCCCAGAGGCTGATGTGACATCTCGTCTTGTTTTGCTCAAACAACTGTTGAAAAACCAAAGGGATTCAATTTACGATTATACAGAAACTAAGGCAGGAACATTTTGGTATTTCTGCTTGAAACTTACCTTAAACAGTTAATCAATTATTATCAATATTGTTGCAGCTTAATTGATTCATCTATTGACAGAAACTTAAATCGACTAATAGTTTCAGGGCTAGAGAATCATTGGTGGACTAATGACAATGCAGCATGTAGGTTTGTGAAGAAAATGTGCAAGACCAGTTTTAGTACATAAAACTCTTGAGATGTTTAATGTTTAAAATTGTTTCTTTAAATAGATACAAGTATTTTATATATAGGATAGCACAATGAAAATTTCAACAATGGAGCTTAACATAAAAATATGCTGCCAAATTGTGCGTTTTGAACATACCTCCCAACATATTGCCCATGAAGTAACAACATACTGTATCTATATGTTAAAAAACAAAGTGTTTGGTTTGTGTTTTGTACATTTTCTGCTAATGAGTGATTTTACTTGTGTCTTTTTACCAGTATTTTTAGACGTTGACTGCCTGACAACAGCGAGAAAGGTTTAAAAAAAACAAAAAAAAAAAAGTCAAAGTGATAGGACATGAATGAGTGTGTGAAAGTAGGACTATAACTGAACTGAGTCACCTCACACATGCCCATCAGATAGCTGACATGGATTTAAAGGCATGGCGCTGACACACACGTGTTCCACTCAAAGACCTGGTTTCCTGTTCGCTGAGTCTTTTTTTCCAGACTGTAGCCAGTAACAATGACCAGCGGCAAACCAAAGAAATCTTTCAGTCTTGTGTTGACATTAAAACATCTTGAACTAATTGGAGTGAGCTCTGCTTGGCCCCACTGTGGAAAAAGTGGCTCACGAGCACCGACTAACAAGCAGGGGAGAAAGTCTTGCAGCCAACAGTTGCCTGGAAAAGCCATTTGTGTTTCATGATTACTGTGACAAGGATGCAGCGAGTGTTTATCTACTGCTTCATGTCCATCTGAAGAGCACATGCTTATAATAAAAACACCCATATACGAGTTATCCACATGTTTCTGCCTGTGTATGCCAATTTTTGTCCTAAGACATGTAAGTTAAATGTGACTCGTCTCGTTAATAAATCCAAATGTAGCCAAACATTTACAGACAGAAGATACTGAGCCTTGTTTGCTTTTCTAATTAAGTAAAGGCAGATGCTTCAAATCACTCTCTACAGATAGCACTACATGTATAAGCCCCATATGAGTGTTGGAACACAACCTCAGTATCCCCCTGCAGTGTGACTGAACAGTTAAAAAGACAACAATAGTTATGTAAGTGGTTTTGTGCGACTTGTGCGTGTTTTTGTGTTGTGGAGTTCATTTTCTGCAGCTGATCTATTACATACAGACACATCACATGTCCAGAAGCAGAACGCGTGGATCTTCCACCACAGCTTTTATCTTGCGTAAGAAAGTGACTGCTTCTCTACCGTCAACGAGTCGGTGGTCGTACGTCAGTGCCACATACATCATGGGCCGGATCTCAACCTGCCAAAGCACAAAGCAGTTCAACTGTTTACTCACGTCTGAGTGGAAAACAAGTAGATCGTTTCAGTATGTTTAGTCATCGCCTGTCCAAGCAGATATAAATGACTAATTCTTGCACAACTTTTTTTTATTTTATTTTTATATCATCTGACATTTAATAATTTGTGTAAGATGAGCAAACTTACATTTCATACCTCATTCTTTTGCACCAGTAAAACTTTTGCAAACCAAATAGATTAACTCTTCGCTGTTTTCCTAGTCACACAACATCTGTATTTATGGACAAATAACTCTCACCTCGCCATTCATGGCCACAGGTCGGTCGAAGATGCCATGCATGCCCAGGATGGCAGACTGGGGAGGGTTGATGATGGGTGTACCAAACATGGAGCCAAACACACCACCATTGCTGATGGTGAAGGTGCCTCCATCCATATCTTCGACAGCAAGCTCATTATTACGAGCCTGAGGTGCACAACACAAATGAATTCTCATTTTATGATAAAAGTATATAGGCACTGATTTTATACTAAATTGCGTAGCAGTGTCAAAGATTAAGAAAAGAATACAATCATCTTAGGATGCTGGTTACCACCTATAGCACAACGCATTTTACCTTTTCTCCCAGGGCATTAATGGCTTTCTCGATGTCAGTGAAGTTCATGGTCTCAACATTACGGATCACTGGTACAACAAGCCCCTAAAGAAATATATGTCGTTCACATGCAGACAATGTTACTCAGCCTTTAACAGCAACAGTTTTTACACACAAATGTAAAGTCTTAAAGAGTCAAAAGTCATACCTTTGGAGTTGCCACAGCAACACTAATGTCCACATAATCCCTGTAGATGATCTCTTTGGTTGTGTCATCAATAACTATTAAAAACATTTAGAGGGTAAAGTTTAGTAAAACAAAAATATAAAAACTATAATATTTGGCTACAAATGCTATACTTTAAAAAGCTCAATTTCAAGCAAATGAAAAAACACTGGAAGCGGGTCTGCATCGTCTTACCAGCATTGACAGCAGGTTGTTCAGTCAGGGCGTGAGCTGCAGCCTTCACAAACGCCGACATAAAACCCAGTTTGATGTTGTGCTTCTTCAAGAAAGCATCCTTATGGATTTTCCTCATGTCCTGAATGTTGCTGAAACAAAGTTGATGACACGTTAGAGATTTTTTAGTGAGGAAACATCTTTATAAAAAAGTACCTTCAGTTAAATAATTCCTATGATCACATGCGACACTGGTGTGCAAACACTTATGCCGTGAAATGTGGATCAGGTTCTTTTGTACTGAGGCGTGTAATCCCGACTGGGTAGGGTTGTGAATATGATGGGGAAAGTTGGAGTAATCTTTTCAGGAGCTGCCGTGTCTCACCTCATGTCCACCTCATTGAAGGTGGTCAGCATGGCGCAGGTGTTCTGAGCCTCCTTCAGCCTCTGAGCGATCCTCAACCTCATACGGTTCATCTTCACCTGGTCAGCAGGAGAACAAAAAGTTCTGTGAACCATAGTCTTTGCATTGTTGGTACGCTATGACAAAAACTTTGTTAGTTCCTATGTGTGTTACCCTGTTTTCTCCTCTGCCTCCTGCGGGTAGAGGAGCTGCTGCTGGAGCTGCAGGAGTGGGTCTGACAGCAGAAACTACACAAAGAGAAAGGCAGGGAAACGCAATTTCAGATACATTCATATACACATATAATAAATACATAAAAACTGTAGATTCATATGATAAGAGTAGGAAACACACCAGGTTTAGCTGGGGCAGCCTGAGGTGGCACTGGGGGCACTGTAGGCATGGCCGTGGGGGTTGAAGCTGGAGTAGGTGGAGGTGGTGGAGTAGGAGGGTCTGAAGCTGCCGCAGCTGGTGCCTCTGCAGCCGGGGAGGGAGCAGCTTTAGCAGCAGCAGCTGAGGAGGCAAGAATAAAACAAGTCACAACTGAATTGATTCTGTAGCACCAAGCATCAAAAATGAGCTGAAAAATCTTTACAATCATTACAGTGTTAGTTTTACATTGTATTTTATTAAGGCGAGGCACAGCTCTTTGTTTATCTACACTGATACAATATTATGAAAAAATGTTTAAATGCCTATTTACTCAAGTCAGTGAATTATCAAAACTGTATCGTTTTGGTAATGGTACTACTGACTGACAAAAACTGACAGATATACTGGCACCAGAATAGAGAAACAGCACCGAGTTCTTCTAGTTCATTGTAAGTGATGAAATGATCAATGATGTTCAACTAAGCACACCTCCTTTCCGGAGTTTGAAGAGCGGCGTTCCTCCTTCTACCTTCCCTCCATCGGGCACCAGTAGTTCCTCAATTACACCAGCTGCTGGAGCCGGGACTTGTACAGAAGTCTGGAAATAGAAAATACACAAGTTTTGCAAAGACTTTTTTCTTATCCTGTTTAAGTAAAAAAATAAAAATAAATAAATAAATCATACAAATAATTTTAGGTTGATATTTCTTGTTCATACCTTGTCAGTCTCAATTTCACACACCACCTCATCTTCTGTCACTGAGTCACCCACAGCTAAAATAAAAACAATGAAGGAGTGTGTTTTTCATGTGCAGAAATGTGAATACTTTCAACATCTGGCTCACTGATAATACAATATAGGAGACAAACACTCGTGTAATATCATCATATCAATCATATGTTGACAAATACCAACCTTTCTCCCACCTCACATCCCCCTCTGTAACAGATTCTGCGAATGCAGGAGTTTTGACTGTGACTACTTCTTCCCCTGTACAAAGACAAAAACAACTATAAGTTACTATAAGTTGAACAATGAGTTGAGTTCAATACAAAATGTTGAGAGCTATTGCAGTACATACTGTGAACAGCAGATGTCTTGAAGTATCTGATGTGGAAGACATTTGCCGATGATGGAAATTCGGCTCTAAATGTCAAGAAAACAAACTATTACTTTTATTTCTAGACTAATCTAATTCAACAAATGACTTGAGATGCAATGCAATTAAAGCTAATTAATCTTTTATTTTTTGATGTTTAGTCCACAAGTCAGAAAATAGTGAAAATGGCCATCACAATCACAAAAAGCTCAAGACAATCCATAGATAATCAATTAAGAATTATATAAAACAGAGAAAAGCAGCATTAGAACAATTAATTGATTATTTGATTCAGCACTAAATAACTTTGGTAATAAGCACACACAATAATGACCAACATTATAATGTACAGCTGTAGATGTACAGCTCAGTTTATGATATGATGAATAAAAAAGGAGGATATCTCACTGACAGTGCATCATTGAGCGTTCTACAGATGAAAGGTTTACTGAAGGACAATCAAAGACAAACATCAAAATAGGAGGGAGCACTTACAGCTGAGAATTCCTGTAAACTAGCCGGCTGCAGACAGAGAGGCCTTAAAGGTGAAAAGAGAAGAAAGAAGAAGAAAAAAAAAAATCAACAAAAGCTGCAACGACTGCTTCTGCTGAGCCTCGCACATGAGATGAGTGGAGTTCTCTGAAAGCTGCAGTTAACCACTTGTGGGCTCCTCAGGCATCTCAACCATTGAATAAGCATTACTGATTCTGCTTTGGATGACCCACTCATAGCGCTTGTTTATTCATGAGCAACAGAATAAAGACAGCTGTCTTGGATGTTTACAGCTGAGGCTCTCAACCCCAGCTAAAGAACAGGTCTAGGTAGTTAGTATAGAGGCATACTTACCTGATACACTTTGCCGGACCAGCACATTGTTGGCCTGAACAGATAAAATTTGAAAAAGAAAAAAAATCAGTTTAACTAGTATTTATCTGTATATGTGTTTTTGAATTTTATCTGGCTTTGTACTGAAGGCTGTTAAAATTACATTAGTATCATTTAAATCAATTACCCTCCCCTCCCCTAACTGTCAAAGGTGAGCCTCAAACCAAAACCTGCTTTTCTCTTCACCTGAACACTGACATTAAACAGCTAAATGTTTTGAGCCTACTTAATCTGCCGTGACACCGCGGCCTTGGTTAGTTTGATTGTAAACAGACAAGCCTAAGCTGTAATTCTTCTAAAGAGATTCACCAGTAAATGTGGATTGTGCAGACACATAAAAAAAAAACACTTCTGTGTACCCTCAACTTGCAGTTCAAACGGTTTTCTACAGTGTTATATAGCAGAAGTGGACTACATTGCCTGAAACAACATCAATATACAAACCAATCAAAATCAATCAGTACACTACAATCTGCTAACTAAAAATTGGTCACAAGAGGAAATGCATCAAGATCTGTGTGGCTTACCAACTCAACTCAAACTTTCCTGGGGGGAAACCCTGATTCATCGCCATGAATCAAAGGGCAATGAGTGATGAAGTATATCTCAATAACTCACACCACCGATTACTGTAAGGATGTAGGGAGAGACATCTACCACATAAACAACTTTACTTTTCTAAAATGTCTGATGAACAATCATTTGCCTCCTCTTAATGGGAAGGAAGTCTGATATCCCTTTGTAGCTTTGACTTTGAGGTAAAACACTGGATTTTCCAATGCTAGCTGCTGGTTAGGGTTAAGGGTGCTGCGTTGCTGTATGTGATGAGTCATGTGTGAAGTTATTTTGAGGGCTGGGCCTCAAGTTCCCGCTGTTCTTAAACTGATGTTTGTCAAGTGGAGTTACTTAGCACTCTAACCAAGACATACTGATGTGGGATGCCAGAAGAGGGTGGATTTTGGACCCAATCATCCACAATACAGCAATGCGTGTGCAGACATGTAGCCAACGAACCATTTGACTTTCTATTATTTTTACTTTATAGAACAACTAGTGTTGATTACACACCATGAAGGCCATCATATTGACTGATAAACCACCAGTGTATTTAGTTTAATTTTGAAATCACTCTTCTTGCATTAACTTTTTCAATGTGTTCCACCCGAGGACCTTCCTCAGTCAAAACTCCAGATGAATTCCTGCACATATTCAAAAATCTTTTGTACCATTACATACACTGGCAAGTTAATAGATAACCTAGCTGAAGGTAATTCAGCCTAACACACCTGCCTCGAAAGAAATTAAACCGTCAGTAATCCTACCTTCTACATACACGACTACAACGATTGTTTGGTCAGATGATCAAAAGTAGTTTTTAAATAAAAAATGCAAGACGAATAATTGGTTCCAGTTTCTCAAACTAAACTAAACGATAATGAAAATAAGTTGCCACCCTTATTATACACTCAGTTGCCACTTCATTAGGTACAAAGTGCTCAGACTAATGAGGTATAATACAACAGCCCTGCAATAAATCCTACCTTCATTTTACATAGGTGTTGATTCAACTTTATGATTATTTACGAGGCAGCAGATTGTGATGCTATTGAATTGTGCTGCACTTTAATGATAGGTATTTCTACTATTTTGTCCGACTTATTTAAATCAGTGAGGGTAGGCCAAGTAACTGAAACACCCCACTGTATAATTCAGTAGAATTCAACAGTGTCACAAACAGCAGCCTAAAAAATGATCATTGAGTTGAATCAATAAGTCTGGTGACTGACTATATCCCAGCGTGGACTTAAAATCAGTATAATGGAACACAATACAACAGCAAAGCCAACTACAGCCTCTAATATGACTTTAGTTGAATTAACATAAAATAAATGTTTACACTCTTGACAAAAACTGAACCCTGCAACCTCCTTTAAACAAGTATTCACTGCAGAGCTGTTGTATTATACTGCATTAGATTTAACCAAGTGCACAACTGAGTGTACTTCTGCCATCCATAATCAGCTGGCAACACTAACACCAGGGAGAAGAACAAATCAAGTCCGGAAGATACAAGTCATTACTTTGGTGATCATGTTTCAGTTTTGTTACCTGCTCATAGCACTGAAAAGACAGCTGAACTTGTGAGGGCAAAGCCATAATGCCCCCTCGCTGCACATACATGTCTAACATGACATGGGCTATTTCTGTCAGGTCGCCTCAACCACACGAAACCATAACATACTAACATTAGCCTGTCACGACTGGGGTGTGTCGTGTCAAGCCTGTCACTGAGAAATACAAAATAAAAAAGACTATAATTATTGCTAGCTAACGGGACAGGTCTACTCTCCTAGCTTGTTAGCTAGCCGGTTTGTTGTGAAATGCCGGTTAAAGCTAACATTAAGTGTGGTTTTTACAACAATCTTGAAATAAAAGTCGATATTCACTAGTCAGGTAGTTAATGGGAAACTGTTCTAAGCTTCTTGACTGACCTGAGCTGCTTCTGAAACTGTCACTGTCTGTCTGTCCTTGGTAGCTGAGGCCCTGCTTCACAACAAGCTAACGTCTGCGGTACGCTACTAAACAACCAGCTGTGTCTTATTATAATCAGCGGGGTCCGTCTCAGAGTAAACACCCGGGCTCACGTCAATGATTTTTTCAAACCTACCTGGCTCACCGCTGACAGGGAACGGCCAAGCGTCCGGTACACACATCGAGATCGTGATAACATAGCGATAGCTGGCGGCTGTGCCTGTTGTGTGACAGCCGAGGAAGAAGCGGTGTCCGGACGCTCGATGCTCACAGGCACGGGGGCGGTCCCATTGGAAGAAACCACTGCGGCTAGGCGGGAGGGGGCACGGCTGGGTACCGACCGGCGGGAGCTGAGATAGGGTAAAAACCATCATTTACCACGAACTACAACGTGACAAATAATGTGAATAGGGTGAAATAAAAGGGAATTTTCCACATGATAACATAATAAAATGCACTCAACGATAATAGGACTGTACCATTGCCTGCATTAGGGGAGTCATCTATACTTTTAAAAGCCTTTCAAAAAAAAAAAAGTTACATAACAGACACAACCACACAAAAAGTAAGAAACTGTGTACAATTTAATTTAAGTATTTATTCCTCAGTCAGTTAATTAACAGTTGGCTTCAGATGTTATTATTATAATATGATTATGTGGCAGGTAGGGATGGGATAGGTTGGCATGTTTGACCACACCTCCTGGTTTCTGAAGAGGCTCTCATCTGGACCAGTACAAATAACTGAGTCATTTCTCCTCCTGCAAGTTCCCGACCTGCAGCCTCCTCTGGTCCTGTCCGACAGGCAACAGGTAGGTTATCTATCAGTTCCTTAAACTGTAGCTGGTGTGTTTAATGTCTCAGCTACATGTTATATTTTCTCTCAAGATGTCTAATTTAAACTTTGATTTTAATTCTGAATCTTAAATCGAGTCAATCTGAAATTGTATTATAGCTGAAAGAAATAATGAAAGTGAGAAATTTATGAAGCAATTTACACCACTGATACAGAAAGTTATAAGCGAAAAAATTGTGTCTTTTCTAGCTGTGCAAAGATCTGCTAAGTGCAGTACATCAAAGGCTCTATTCACATCTAAAATTTATTGAAAAACTAAATTGCTTATTTTAAATATGAAACGTGTTCAATTCACTTGAAAAGAAACAAATAGAATAGAAAAAGAGGTATGATATTTATTTTATTATTTTTTATATACTTATTTGAAAAGCAATTCAAATCGTACAAAAAATAGATCTTTGCTAGTGTGACATTTCAAAGAATTCAAGGAAGCAATGCTATTTTTAATTTCTTACATCACCTGCATTATATAATTAATGACTGTGTTTTTTTCACAGTTGTCTTTTCTTTTTTTTTTTTTTCATCTAGGAAGCATGAATCCAAGTGTCTGGAGCAAAAGTATGTATTCCTCCAGCAACATTTGCCTTGACGGCTGCACTGCAGAGCACCTCTCCTCTGTTCAATTTGACCATGTGCCGTCAAATCCAGATGTATCTGGTGTTTCTGTGACTTTCCACAAAGACAGTGAGAACATGAAAATGCCACGGGAGAGTGATTATTACAGCAGCGATGAAGCTGGTTCAGGTTTGATCTGTTCTAGCCAGCTGGAGCTCGATCCACCCAGAGACAGCACCACAAGAAGGCATCCATCTCCAGCATCCAGTTCTTGTGGTCATCATGACTGGAACCTAAGCAGTGGCCATCAAGCAAAGCGTGCCAGAGTAGAAAATATCATCAAAGGTATGACCAGCTCTCCTGGTGCGCACTGCACAGATGTTATGACAAATCAGCACGAGGAGTCCGACTGCGTGCAGGAAAGTGAAAGGATTGGTGAACTGCCTTTACATCAGGAGCACATGGAAAGAAGTGGACCTGGCGGCACGAGTCACAGCCAGACAACAAGCAAGCAGCTTGAGAGTCAGCAGCAGCACCTACGACAGCTCAGAGCAAAGTTTAACCATGTAGATGAAGAAACTGAAACCACAGAGACTAGTAAGGAGAAGTATCCCACCTGGAACGATTCTCCTGACACATCTCCAACAGATGCATTTACAGATTCATACAGCGAGTTTGAGAACAGCTTTAGTAGAAAATACCAAGGCTGGAAGAAGGTGAAGCTGATGAACTACTTCCAATCCAAACCTGAGAGAATAAAGCTAATGGCAGATGTCTTAAAGTATGAACTGTCCAGAGCTGTCAGTAGGAGTGTTGACTCCGTCTTCAAAAGCATGCCACTTCTACAGACATCACTAAACAATGAGCGGAGTGCAGACACCGATATGCCTCAGCAGTCATCAGTGTGTAATGATAAAAAATTAAGAATTCCGTGTTGTGGGAATGCAGAGGTGCAAGTCCCAGATGTTCAAACCGAAGCTCTGTCTCTGGTTGTACAAAAGCCTCGACTGGACAAGTTTATCCTCCAGCCCAGATCGAGAGCTAACCATCGTCCAAAACTTCAGATCCCCTTCAGTCATGACTCCGCTCTGCATGACGATCGGCCGTCCCAGAAGAATCACAGCACTGCCCATCAACATGCCCTGAGATGCTTGCAAGAAGGGTGCACTGAAGTTGGCCAAGCAAAGTTTGAGATGTTTGACACACACTGGAATTCGGTCAAAGCGAGATCAAAGGTCAACTCCAGATCCGTGAGAAGCCCACAGACTCACACTGTGTCGGTGGATCCCATGCTTTTAGAAAGCCTGTGCCTCCCTCACGTCAAGATTGAGTCTGATAGCCTGCAGAATAACCTGTACATGCTGAATGTATCCTTTACAATTTTTTAATGATAGTGTAGTCTAATATTTCTCTCCTTATTGTAGCTTCTGAAGCAGCTGCCTTTAGATGCAAGTAATAATTCTTCTGCCTATTTGAGGTTCGAATAACTCACCTCCATGCCACAAACCATGTCATCACCTCAGGGATGCTGCAAAATGAATCTGTTCATCAACACCAATTTTACTTCTTTTTAAAGAAGACAGCAACTTTGCACCTTACAGAATCCAATGATTTCTCCCTTCCATCTTCTAGACTGTGAAGAAAATTGCAGTCTTTCCATCTGACCTGGGTCGTAACAATATCTTGGAGAGAAAGTGTTTGCAGGCTCATTAACATTGAGATAAGTCAGACTGTTTAGTTACGTGTAGGATGTGTGTGTGTGTGTTTTTTTATCCTTAACACTGGTGCGTTTTAGGAGGGTCTGACCACAAGCCATCTGAAGAAAGCAAAGCTTATGTTCTTCTACACTCGCTACCCGAGCTCACTGGTACTGAAGATGTGTTTCCACGACGTGCAGGTGAGAAAATACTTGCAGTTTAGAGCATGGGTACATTTCTTCCACATAATAGTGTCATTTTAGAATAGATTCTAAATGACCAGATAAATTAATAGTTTCTATTCACAAAGCGTGACTTACTTTTACTGAAAGAATACAGATTTGCATTTTAGCGGGCAGTATGAAAAGTTCTATGGTTTTTAAAATGAAAGCGATTCCTAACCAGTTCTGTGCTTGCAGGATCTGTCACTACAGAATGAAAACAATCAAGTTCATAATTTAAAAAATTTATTTGTCAGCACCATTATAACAATCAACAAAATGTGTAACAATGAAAACACAACATGATAAAATAGTTTATTCGTTTTTCATTATCTTTATATTTTGAAATCTACACCATAAAACATGTTTAGCAGCTTCCACCACATAAAGACTACAGTAATTACAGTATACCAAATTAATGTAATTTGAATAATCTTCACATTTCATCAGCTCACTTACCTGTTGTCCGTTTCGTCCTCAGTTCACGCGCTGTATCACCTCTCAGCTCATCAAGTGGTTCAGTAACTTCAGGGAGTTTTACTACATCCAGATGGAAAAGTTTGCCCGCCATGCCCTCATAGAAGGAGTGGCCGACGTGAGGGGTCTGACTGTGGGGAGAGAATCAGAACTTTTCAGAGCTCTGAACATGCACTACAACAAAGCCAACGACTTCCAGGTGAGGTATACCTGAAACTAAACAGGGATTATCATTATTGCTCTGAATATACCAATTACTCACATTATCTGCCTATAAAGATGAGCTGCAGCCATTTTTGTCAAGAGCTGATCCTGACCTGTCAGTTATGTGTGATCTTTTTTACTTTGGAAGCTTTCAGTGAGGTAATTTTACAGTCTAATTTTTGATCATGTGCTGTTCCAACAGGATTTACTTTTGTTGTTTGTTTTGTGTGCGTGTGTTGTAGTTTATATTCATTATTTCTCGGTAGTCTCAAACTCGAAATCATTTTCGAATCTGTTCACTTCACTGCATCTCCTCATTTATAGTTGATGTAGATTTTTAAAGAAATCAGTGGGGACAGATGCATTTCATATTTTGTAGGTTATACTGAATAATACACCCATGAGTTAGTGAACTGCTTTAATAATTTATGTTTTTTGTTGTAAGTACAGAGGTAAAAGAAAAGAATTTAAAGACGCTTCATCACAGCTGGAGGTCCTGCATGTGTCCACGCGTCTGGTATTACATGTGTTAACGTACATAATTCCAAGATCATACATAAACCACAAATTAATTCCAATGGGTGAATTTAATCACATTATAACATGACACAAGTCACGGTGCTCAACAGCGTAACAACAATAATCTAAATATACCAAACACACAGATGCTCGGACTATTAAGAAAACAAATGTCTCAACACTGGCTCATACACATTTAGTTCAGGGTATTCTGCTTCATTAAATAGGTGACAGAAGAGACTGAACTGAGAGAAGGGACATTTTTAGGATTAGGATGCCTTAGGTCTCATCCACTTTCTAACAATAGCATAATATTATGAGAAAAAAACCTTCTCACATTGAGTTTTTTTCTGGCATCATAATAACTTCATAAAGCCAAGTTAATAACTCTCCACCACATTAGTGAAGACCAAGCAGAAAATAGCCTCATCTGACCGAATTTATCAAAAGGCCATACGACAGCGATGGACACTCAGTGCCCACTTTACTAGGTACACCTGTACAATCTAATCAAAACCGATACAAATTTTCCACCATAAAGTCTATGTTTATGATACCTATAATGTTTTTGTTGATGCTGTCATAAACTCAGCTAATTAATGTAATAAGGCTTGTCGATTATAACGGATGACACGGCCTGAAGTATAGAATCATACTGTGAAGTTTATGTCACAATGAGTATTTAGTCTCACTGTCTTGAGATTAACAGTAAAAGTGTGGGAGTGTCTCTGCGACATTATATTACTTTAATTTTTTTTTTTTATACATGTGGAAATTAAAAACAATGCGCATTCTAATCAGTGATGACCAGATTTCAAAAGTTGACTTAGACGTGACCCTGGAGCATGTAAACTCAGTTCTAAAAATTGAGTTTACATAGTTTACAGCAAAACCTTACTGCACATTTAGGAATGTGCACAAAGAACATGATTTAATATCTGTTTCACAGTCATATCGGCCAAAGTATGACAGTATAATAGAACAGCAGCAGGGACGACATGGCTGTAACATATTTTTTTTCCAATAGTTCCCTGCACTATATAGCAGTAATGGGTAATGATACAATTAATAAATTATGTGTTGATTAAATTGGACCCGGATAAGCATCTGAAAATGAATGGATGAATTGACAAATAATAAATTATTAATTAATTAAAGTTCAAACTTTGACAACTATCTCACATTTATTGCTTTTAACTTATTTAGATATAACATCTTCAAACAGCCTGCAAGTAAAAACATTTTAGAACTAAAATGACTGTAAATTAAATAAGACATACCTTTCTATTACCTTCTAAGTCCCTTTCTTTTTCTTTTTCTTTTTTAAACATATGAAACTGAATTCAGTGCCTCTCAAGACTTTTCTTGTAAAACATTTTGGATTCAATATGTGATTTGGCTCAGTATGAAACTTCAAGGATTCCAGAAAAGAAATCTACCAACATGATCAATAAGAAATGAAGAGCAACAGGCCAAAACTTGAAGTTAGTTGTGAAAGTGCCACCAGAGAACCTGAACCTTTATCTCTGCATCAGGAGAACGGAGTCAAAAACAGCAGAGCAGCAGTAATGAAGGGCAGAGAGAGGACAGGAGGGGTGAAATGCTGTGAGTGTGCCAAAGTAAGGGGATGAGTTTTTTTTTTTTAAGGAGAATATGAGGAGAATTTCTCATGAAACACAGTTAATGAAGAGAGCTGGGTTACTGCACTGAGTAAACAGCTTTTTCCAGGTTTTACTCGTCATAATCACCATCAGTGTCATGTCAAACTGTTTTGACATTAGTTTAGTGTGTTTCGTGACAGTCACCTCTGCACTGCTTACATCCCTGTTTTGTCTCAAGTCAGACAGATTACACTTACGAACACACCCAGCAGTGTTGCTGTGCTTATATGGAAGCTGGAGCTGAAATCAAACATGCATGTCAGAGGGAATGAAAACACAGGCTGCCCTCTTTGTTTCAAACTAGTTTCCCCTTGCACAATAGTAAATGCTTCGAACAAATGTGTGGCTGTCATTTGAGAGAAGGAACTGAAGTCTGTTTTTTTTTTTTTAATGAATGACATAATGCAAATAGAAAATGGCAGTATGTTTGGCCACAGCTGTACTGGAAACAAAAGCAGCAACATGCCCACATAAAGTCCATAAAGGGTAAATGCTCATTACATAGCCACCAAGGCAACCCTAACTCATACATAACATTGGTATACTGAGAATATGATTAAAGCATTAAAAAAATCTGGTGAGCATTAAGCCTCTAGACTCCTCTTTGATGGTATTTATGTAACTATTAATAACTAATATGTTGTCAATGCAACTGAATTGAAAAAAAAAAAAAAAAAACATAGTGAAAGAAGTGAAAATCCATCATTGGGCAGCCTGAGAATCCAGGTAAGAAAAAGCTATATGATGTTATATTTATAAAACTCACCAAAATGAGAGTTTGTTTGCCATGTAGTTCGAGAAAAAAAGGCAACCAAACTGTATTCGAAGCACAAACATCACATTTTGACCACAGCACATGGAATATCCAAAACACAGAGGGTTCATCCTCTGGGGAGCACGAATGCAACAAAGTAAACCTTTTGACCAAATGGTGGTGAGGAAGCAGGTCAACAGTAGGGATGGGAATTGAAAAGATTCTATCGAAACCAATGCCAAAACAGTTTGTTAATCAGGCCAATTGTTTTTCTTTTTAATCAATTCCCATAACGATTCCCGATCAATTTTCCCAACTGTCAGAAAAACATGCCAGCATTAATAAAAGGATTCAATAAGTTCAGAGGCATACGATTTCACTGGTTTGGACAATTTGGTACCAGTCCTCTACTCCCATCTCTGGTCACGTGGTCACTGACAACATTGTAAATCATCCTCTGAGGACAATGAATATCCAGACCAAGTTCCAGGGGAATCAGACTGGTGGTTATTAAACAGGAAAAAAAAAAAAAAAACCTGAAGGTTCTGATGAAAAGGAAATTATGGTACAGGCAGATGTGTGTACTGTTCATAAATTTTTTTTATTGGTTAATTCAACTGGTTTAATATTTTTTTCAATTATTCATGGTCCCTTTGACTCATGACTTACCTTGATTTGCCAGGCCCGAGTTTAATTATCTCAAAAATAATGCAAATCTACAATACTTGCCTTGTCAGTGACACACACAAAAAGTATTAAGAGTATGTGTAAGGTTTCATGCTGTTTTTAAAATCCTATCCTGTGGATTCACAGGTTCCTGACAGATTCCTTGAGGTTGCCGAGATTACACTGAGAGAATTTTACATTGCCATTTCGATGGGCAAAGATCACGATCCATCCTGGAAGAAAGCAATCTACAAGGTGATCTGTAAACTGGACAGTGACATACCAGCTGAATTCAAAAGTCATCACTCTGGATAAAAGCCAACCAGAGGACATCATGTGTCACAGAGGTTACCGTCACAATGTGGACTTACTCTTGCTTTGATGAGCAAACGTTTTGTTTTCAACAAGCTGCTCACGACATTGTAAACCAGACAGGTTATCAGGTAAGTGAAGTACATGCCTGCACATGTCCAGTCACCATACATGCAGCAGACTGATGGGTGAGATTATAATTTACTGTATATGTGTTCTTCACAGGCACCACCTGATGTTATTGTTGCATCATAGGGTCATTTGACATATGTATTTTGCTATATCAGCCATATTCTATAGCAACAATACATATTTTTTGCGATTGTGAAAACAGTTTATCACACAGTACAACAGAGAACGCATTTTGGTTTTTTTTTTTTTGGGTGTATTTGTCTTTAATAAGAACAAAATAAGGTCCACACCATATGAGAAAAACATTTTTTAATATTGAGCAGAACTCGTTATTTGCATGTATGTACAGGGTATGCAAAATGGAAATTACATGAATTCAAAAATGACTGAATCAGTAAATTGTCTCACTCACCCCTCACAAATAATATAAGTGTTTCCTTCTCTCTTCCATACTTACCATATGTATTCATCCACTTTCCAAACCATAGTGTCGTTGGCTGTCCATAGACAAATCAAATCTTCATCAGCAGCGTTGTGTTTTCACTTGTAACTGGTCCTCGCTTGGTCTTCAATGTTGATGCTCCAAATGAAAATTTCTCATGTTCGAAAATACTGGATTCCCTGGTTCTCAAGTGCAAAGTTTGTAGATGTAAAATTTGAATACACCTGCATATATTGATATATTGATTTATTGATATACCATGATAATCAGTGACTTGCTCAGAAAACCCAACTGCAGCAAGGCAACCCAATAAATCTACGAGCATACTTCTGTGATGTGGCAAACTAATACATTATTAAATGTTCCACTGTATATTTAAAATTTATCACACAAAGGAGTAGGGCTGAACGATATGCAAAAACATAATAAATAAATTAAAAAAAGGGTTATTTAGGCAGATATTGTGGTTGCAATATGAGTCATGATTACAGTTGGAATGGTCATTGTTGCCTTTCATTTTCAGTGAAAAAATATATAAAAATGCTGATGTGATATTTGCAAGCAAGCATGTTCCTTTACATGTGGGGCATCGCTGTAGCACCACTATGCTTCATTTATAGTATGTTGTAACACATTTTACTTGTTTCAAAAAAATTGCAGTTGTTGCAATTTGGATATTGCAGTTGGCCGTATTGCGATTTTGATAATATTTTGATTAATTGTTCAGCCCTACTAAGCAGTCATTGCAGATATTCTGTATTCAACACCGTCTTTTTAACTTGTGTATAGTCCAGATACATTTGCAGTCAGTTGTTTTAAGCTTGATTAAAAGTTTAACTGAAGTGCAAGGCACTTGATCCCCACTGTTCCCGACTTTACTTCCCTGTCAAGACGCATTTGGTATCTTTGAAACTGGCAACCTCTGGAGCCTTGTAAAATGTCCATGCACTCTGAGATTGTGAGGCATCAGGACTTTCCTCGTATTCAAAATTATTCTCTAATATAATTCACTATAATTTACCATCATATTTGCAGGTTTTAAACAAGATTGAGGTTGTTCCGCAACCATGTATTTAAATTACAACCCATCTTCTGACACTTGCAAACCCATTCAAGCAACAAGCTGAGACAAAGAAAATACTGCAACAAGCACAGGTGTAACAAAAGTAAACCAGTCGGTAAACCAATGTAAAAACCAAGTAAAATTGGCGCTGACTTCTTATCTGCAATTATGTCCCAGTGTCGTTTTCTTTTAACTGAAAATTATTTAAAAAATAAAAACTTTAGACAAAGAAAATGGCAAAAACACCGTCATTATGGAGCTACGAAGCGATCCACTGAGGTGTAAAACAGTAAAGTGATGCAAAAATTTAATTTGTCTTTTAAGAAACTGTCATGTGAATTGTCTAAGCCAACGTAAACGTGGCTGGACATTTAACATGCACTTAAGGACCTGGCACATCACAAATCTGTCATGCTGCCGTTTATTCTCTTTCATTCATTCTCCCAACTTAACTGTGGCAAACCTAAATACAGCCACTCTTTAAAAACAAGGGCAACTCAAGTGAAGTCAGACTCACTCTTTTTCAGCCCAAATGATCTGCGCTGTCATTTCTAGCAGATTCTGCCACCACGAACAAACACTTTTAGGGCTTCTTGTTGATGAAACCCAGGTGACATCGTCCAGTAAGACTCCCCAAGTTGGTGATTTTGTGAAACTTTTATTGTCTTTTTTCAAAGTATCCATGGACCAAAAAACAGTGCTACAGGAATACAGTACATAAAGCATGAAGAGTATAAAACAGCAAGAACCATGACCTAATACAGGATACATGACCAGAAGTAGCACAGAATCATAAACTACAAATTAATTGGTGAATAGCCAGAGTGGCCTTTAAAAATAATAGGAAAAAACTATACTGCATCCTTATCAATGTATAACTAAGAATTTGATATCTTATGGTGATTATCACCTTGGAGAGTCTCATGTTTCATCACGAGTCAGCTTCAGTTCTTTCACATTCTGTACACCTGTAGAGAGAAAAGAAATCACTGATAATTTGGCCAAAGACAGATTAGTGTCATGTATCAATTAACTTATAACTATATAAGTTAATCGGCTATATGTGCTAATCAAAAGACTTTTTTTTCTATAAATTAAAGTCTTGTAAATGCAGATAGATTCTTTTAATCATCACTCTACAGCACGTTACAACTGTGTTTGCATCATCATAGAAGTCATTACAAGTGTAGTTCTCAATAGGTAAAACATATGCTCCCATTCAAAAGTTACTTTGGAATTATTCATAGCTTTTTATATTTACCATTTACTGTGAATAAGCTTGGAAACATAAGACAGGTCTTTGAGGAAATGACTGGCTGAACAATGGTGAGATAAGAAGGGATTCAAAAATATTTTGCAAAATGTGGTTTTTATTATCATTTCTGGATCTGGACTTACAACTTCCATTCACATGTATTAAAGAAACTATTGATCACTTATTTTCAATAGAGGGCATGTAATAAGAAAAGTTCTCAAACATGTCCTCATCAAGTCCTTAAAAGTGTATCACTATGAAAATGTTTGAAATTGTAGTTGGGATACTAATCACCACTTTTGTTTGCTTGACACAAATACGATTACTCTTCTAACTTCTAACAGCCATGCTAACATTTTAAAGAAGAGTAACAAACCTACCTTTCCATGAAGGAAAAAAAAGAGGGATAAGATTATCTTCTTAGAAATACTTGGTACGGTTCAGAGCTCTTTGTGCCAGCTGACCACTCTCATCCGTTATTCTCTCCCAGTCCGTTTGACCCACCACAAAGCCAATAGCACGCTTTCGATCTGCATCCTTCTGCTCTTCAAGATCAGCCCACCGCACCTTAAACAGGGAAACAACCAGGGTGTGGTGTTACAAGCAGAAAAATTGATAAACGGGCATAATTTCAGGTAAATCGGTTACATTATTCAGCATTTAATATTACACAAAATAGTGTTCTTCCAAACCAAAAACAACCCTGGAGTACTTGGATTTTCACATAAAACATTTTGTGTTGCCTCACTAACAAATACACTTCAACAAGACAAAAGCTTCATCTTTGAAGTGCAGCATTGTCAAATTACCCTTTTCTTTCCTGGTTCGGACATGCGTGTGGCATAATCGTCTGGCAGCTGAAGGTAGTCCTCCAGGCCTGCCGTTTGTTCACCTTCACGTTTCCGCTTCCCACTGCTCCCCAGACCATCCAACTTGTCTGTACAAATGGAAGATAACTGTTCAGGTCACCTCAGCCATCCTATAAAAGCCTCATCTCAACATTCAAAAATCCTTGAAAAGCCAAATTCAGCCAATTGGCATTATCAGTTTTAGCAGTTTCTCCTTCGTGTTCAATCGCATATCAAAACATTGGGCAATTGCAACAAGTACAACCCCATCATAATGCAGAGAGGAGACAATGTTTCTTACTCAGTTTCTCTCCTCATTTACTTGGGATTTGTAGAAATTATGACCATGTTTGTGTTTTCACGCACATTAGGTTTAAAAATAAAGAAGGCAAAAAGGCACACTTCCCCCTTTACAGCCTTAAATGCAGAACCTGAGTTTTTCATTCTCACAGTACATTCAACCATGTTTTCTTAAAAGTTGAAAACAAAAATTACAACATGAACAGCTTCCGTTGTTATAACATAATTCACATGCATAATTAGATAACAAGATACAATTATAAAACATTAAAAATCAGACCAGTATTTTCAGGCTTTAAATGCAGTGTATCTCTGTATTACAGAGATAAAAGACTGAGTTATCAGTCATAAAATAAAGACTAACAAATTGAAATACCCACCAAGTTTTGCCTCAGACGTGTCCATCTCCCATTTGCTTTTTGGAATGTAGCCCTATATTATATAAAGAAACACTGCAATGGTTAAACATCTCGGTGAGACAGGGGGAAGGGGAGGAGAGAGACAGCAGGGAAAAGGGGTTGGCTGAAAAGAGAGGAGACTGGTTCATCAGAGGTAAAAAAAAAAAAAAAAAAGACAAAGACAACCGAAGGATGAGTCTGCATGAGAAATTGTCTAGTTAGGACACATAGTGTAACACTGGCATACAAACATTTTCATCTTGTAAGTTGAGAGAAACTAATGTGTTCAGACTAAGTCTTTGTTCTTGACCACATGCAAAAAGAAAGTAAGAATGGACAACACCTGTGCTCTGCTTTGGAGGACACAGATTCTGTTCCTTCGTCAAGCAAACCTTTACGTGTTCTCAAGCCAGAAGATTCAAAAGCAAAACTAGTAACTAAATCTCCAATCATGTAGTTTGCCTGTGCTAATGATAATGTGATTAACACATTGAACATTGATTCCCATTTTTTCCCCAAAATTTTCACAAGATTACAAAGAACAAACTCCCATGAGACTGAGTCTGCAGTACTGCTGCTCAAACGTTTACACAAATGAACAAGACAACATTCATAAACAAAAAGTGCAGCATGGGCTTTGTGACATAGCATCACTGTTTCCTAACCACTCCTCAGCTGTCAAGCTGCACTCTGATGTAATTTGGCTGGCTAGCTAACAGCAAATTGCTGACAGTCCACTATCAGCTCTAGCCAGTTCCTAAGTAAGAACATGCTACTTTATTATTCTGATACATTTTGTAAGACCTGATTTTTTAGGAACTTTCAATGTATTCAATAAGTTTGTTGTTTGTTGTTCTTAGAGTTATCTTGGATAGCTGCATGCTATGACAAGGGTCAAAGTTATGATCAGCACTCATGTGACTGGCATTTACAGAGATGGCGCCTTTTTGTTCCAGCTGGGCTGATGTTCATTTAAGGAAACAGTTAACAGGTCATAGCCTTAACTGTGAAATGGAAACCAGCCAAAACCTTTTCTCCCGGTAATATGTCATAAAATAAAATGACTAAAGCTGATTAAAGTTGCATTTGTAGATTTAAAATGTTTGCTGTTTCTTTTAGGTAAAAAAAACATTACATCATTGATCTCTTTTTGTTCAAATTTGTTTTGATTTTTTATTGACATGTTTTTCTTCTAACCTCCTTATTCTTTGTTAAGTGTTTGTGGTGAGAACCTGGCTTCTTTCAGAAAACAAACTGGCATATAACATTTTTCCACAGATGAGGTGAATGGGGTGAGTCGCTGCTTTGAATTATCTGACACTTTTTTTAAACATGAGGTGCTGTAGCTTTGATCTGGATAAAATTTTAGCCCGCTTTTTAAAATGGAAAAATCCAGGTATATGACAAATAGTCAACAATCACATCAAGCGACTGGTGTTAAACAGGGGGCAAAGTTTTAAGAGGGAAGGGATCACAGAGTACCAGGTAAGTGCTGGATAATAAAAAATGACTGCCAAGCTTAAGTTCACATATATATATATATATATATATATACACACACACACACACACACACATATATATATATATATATGTATGTATATAATATATTTATTTATTTTTATGTGCAACTTTAATTTGTTATTGTGCTGTTTATTTTATCATTTTGGTTTGGCTTTCTTTAAAAACTTGGATGTAATAATGTTCTGTAATCCACATTGGTCAAAATATTTCTTTGGCCGTTTTAATTTTTGTGCAAAACTTTAAAGCCTTGTTCCCCACACAGGTGTTTTTAATTACTGTTCCTCCTTAGACCTCTGCTAAGGCTGACAATGGGCGGAGCTTTGCCGTCACAGAGCTGTCAATCAAGCACAGTCTGTATATACGCCCACCCAGTCCTGACAAACAGTCTAATCAGGTGTGGTAAGTGAAAACACCTGTGTGGGTGGATGTTTGGTGTGTAGGAGCTTTAAGCAGGTTGATATTTTTTTTGGTATATTTAATTTCTTTCTTGTGACAGTGTTCAAAGTGGGTAAAATTATGCTGAATATACCAGCATTGGTCTGTTTGTTGCAAGCATGCACAGGTGGAACAAACAAAAAAAACTTGAATGACAATAATGCTGCAAATTCAACTCCCAGCAGCATCTGCGCGGGTTTAATCCAAGTTCCGGCGCTTTGATTTCAGAGTTGAATGTATGAAACAAAACTTGATGCTTAGAGCTGAGAAAAGGAGGCAACCTGCTGTCTTACAAGCCAACAGCCATGGTCTGCTCAGATCATAATAATACATAGAAGACACACTTTCTCACTACAGACTTTCACTGAAAAATACTGAAAATTATTATAAAAAAAGAAGAACTACATTCAGGTTGGATACTCTGCTTGTGCTGCTGCTGCATGCTGTCCACACCCTGTGCAGTAAAGCACTTCACTGTATGCTGCTGTGCAACACTACATCACCATGGTGTGGTCACGAGTACAACAGATAACACACCACCCTGCATTACAGTTAGATGTGGTCAGATGTTAACATTGTACTTAGGGAGGAATGATGGTGCCACAGCAGAGTAAAATGGTGTAGCACCACTGTCCCCTTTTTTCAAGAAAAATATTAAAATATTATATTGTTAATACTCACTATTACACTGTCAATAATCTCACCTGATTAATGATAAACTAAACATATTTCCAAAAGTATTAAGGATTTTTGAGTTAATGTCAGTTGACTTACAGCCAGTAGTAATAATAGTGGCTTAAACACAGCAGTGTCCTTTTGCTTTAAGAGGATTAACGGATAATTCTTTCTGACAAAGTTAACTCCATAGTGTTGTTTTATCATGTACATGTACATGTACTGTGTTCGGGTTCCCTGCATCAACACACAGGAAGGCATAGATGCACCCATTAGATATGTGTTTCATGTCTTATTTGATGTAAGATTATTTCTGAGAAATATGTCCGTATTTCTTTTGTTGTAAATGTTTCTTGATTTCATCCTCAACAGTTTGTGTATGATGTCAGGAAAGATTTACAACAAAAAGGAGTAAAACTTTTTATATAATCTAAAACAGTCCACAATCACCTTGTCACGTGAAATGATTTAATTTCTTTAAATGAATGTGTTTGTTTATAAATACAAGATGGAATATGGATTAATACAGTTTTGAGCAATATAAGTGCTACTCAAGTGCAACATTTCAAATACATTTGTCTTGAAGAAAGCTAATTTGGAGGCGTTAAAACAGTCCAGGCAGTGATGAGCACGATTGTAAACGACAAATTAACAAGTTTACAGAATATTTGTCGACTTGACAACAGACCATTAGACCACCGCATGTTTCTCAAGTTCAGTGGTGATTGCTGTGTTCTTATTTGAGATTCAAACACTGGAGGTGCCGGAGACCCTCATGGAGTTTTTGGAGGCATTTTTATAAAAGTATTACTCTGTACATTAGAAACTGTGATGGTTTCAGCAATCAAACCTGGTAGAGTTCAATGTCACGCCCAGTATGATTTATCTGTAGAGCCACTATGCAGTAGTTTTAGACCAACAGTTCAAACAGTTAGTGTGGTTTAAGGTTACGGTGGCCGTGACTTCAGCCTTTGACCACTATCAAAATCTAAATAAAAAGACGACACGCTTGCACGGTGTGAAACTGCAGGTCTGAACTGGATAACTGAAACAATGATCAGAGCAGCTTTACATTTTCATTCTTAGACCCTAGAAAACTATATACATTTTTCCTGGTTGTCTTAGGCAATAGTGAGTTTAATGCACACATGTAGAAGCATTTGAGTCACTATTTTGAATTCTGTGCAGAGCATATTTTCATCCTTTAATGTGATAAATGAAGGAACATCTTTGATCAATGACTCAGTGGTGGAATTACTGCACGGTAAAACAATATTTACCAGCAATAAATTGTCTATTTGTCATTGACCATAATCTCTATTAAATGGGAAATTATAAACTTTTATGCATCTTCTGGAGTGTTAATTGTGTGTAACTACATGACTGCACTTTGTCTAACCCCTAAGGGCTAAAGCTAACTACAGAAAATTATGAATTTTGTTTACACACATTTCAATCATGTCAAAGTCAACTCATGAAATGTGGTCAACACAAAAGACATGAAAAGGCAGAGTCAGTACAGAGCTCGAGTATGTGATTTTGAAGCAATAATGGTCTCAAAAGAAATGTCTCATGTTACAACAGCATTTTCATTTATAATGCTCGTATGGACCGTATTAACCGATGTGCCATGAGGCACTATTGGAACCTTAATGGCACGAAGGTCTTTGTCATATTTCTCAACACTGATGTAAAGTATAAAGAGCAAAAGCATGTACATGATTAAAAGTGTTTTTTTTTTTTAATGGTTGTTTGGTATGAGGAACAAAGGCTGCAAAAATGTTTTTTGTACTTGCAGCTCATTGAAAGCTAATAATAGGAATTTAAAAAAGTAGTTTTGTGTAAATGTATAAATGATCACATATGTATTTTGTTGTTGTTTCTGAACCACATATTAATAATGACTAAAAAGGTATTACAGACATTTTAGACGAGAAACATTTTTTAGCAGTTCAAGCTTTAGTGTTTTTAGATGAAAAACTGCCAGCTGTTATTGTGGTGGAGGAAGGCAGGCAGTGCTGCCATGTAGGAAATCCATTCTCACTATTAATGCATTTAATTTGCACTTACATTTGAAGAACATTAAACTAGTATATCAAGTCATTTCTACAAGTGATGGCCTTAATAACCTCAGCATAGAAAAACCTGGTTGGTCTGATTAACACATTTGTTAGGACACACGAGTAACAAAAATATGACCATTTAGTTAAAGGTCAAAGTTTCCGGTAAAGCAGATTTGTTGTTTGACTATTAGGTGACTGTTGGCACGAGGCCGATGTCCGGTTGTTTTCAATGTTGTTCTTTTCCTTCTTTCCCCTTACTACAATGACGTGATGATCACACATTCATGACATTTGGCCCAGCGTTCCAGTTTGTGCTCAAGCTTTGGAACTCCATATGGGACAATCCCCTTGAAGGTAGTACCATAGATTTAAGTTTTGAAAATTTCAAAACCAGTTACCTAGTCACAGGTGCTACAGTTTTAAAGGTTTCATCCAACTGTAGACACAACTGAGGAGGATCTTAGACTAAAACGTGATGGATATTACGAGTCCATCACTCTGATTGTATCAACACTTTAGCTTAGTAAAATTTTACTTTTCAATAGTTTGTTAAAATTTCACCAGAATAGTTGTACAACATCTTAAGAGCTAGATAAGAAATTATATTAGTGCCGTAAAACTCAAGTGTCTGTTGATAAATGCTACTGTAAACACTGTCTTTGACATCTGAGACAATATTTACCTCATCTTTGTGAAATTCATTTGACGCATAAATAAACATTTTGTTAGGATTTCATAATAGAAATTAATGAGCAGTTGATTACGCACAAAAACGTTTAAAAATATTAAACGAAAAATTTTAAAAACAGAAATAGACATGCTATCAACATTTTTTTCTCTTTTTTCAATCCTGGATTTTGTTTTAAGTTTTTATTTTGTTTTCATTTCTTTATTTTGATGAAATACGCCTTTCAATAAAAGAAAATGTAAACTGAGTGAAATGGTTCAGCCTCATCCAAAATGATGCAGACTGAAGTTTAGGAACACTTTTCCTGATGGTGGCTCTACAGCAGCCATGTGAGTTTTAAAACTTTTTTCCTAGCTGTAGTTTTATTTTTGGGCTGATTCATTACAGTATTTTGACTGTCTCCATCTTGCTCCCTTCTATTTTTTCCTCCTCTGCTCTGCTCCTCTTTGTAAACCTGATAATTACTACATAAACATTCAAATAAATAGACAAATAAAATAAACTTTAACAAATTAACTTAAATTTCACCTATTTTGTCTCTTTCACTGGTGTAAAATAAAACAATAATATTATTTCAAGACTACCACCTAATATTAACTTGTGATGTGATAGATGGGAATACAAATAAGTGGAAATGATTCTGACATCTAAGTGGCTGTAAATGTAAGTTTTTTCATGTCCTACCAGATCACCCTCTTCTTCCTCTTCTCTCTTGGGTTCCTTGGGCTCGTCATCGGGATTGAAGTCTTCCATTTCAACCTAATAACACAAGCACAAGTTAGTTTAGCTCAGTTAATGAACAAGAGCAATAATACAGTATAATAATATTTTGAAAACCGTCTTGAAGACCTCACCTCCTCTATAGCAGCATCCTGAAGCAGGGACCGGACATCTAAGCGCACCATATGACGTGGTGAGGGCTCCCAGTTGTTGGACATCTGTGTACAAAATGCTTCGTTAAGAAGTGTTCCCTTTATGTTTATGAGCTTCAGTCGACATTCATGATTGTATTGCAAGAGCTAATCGATCTTACAGACCTTCATTATATCCTTAACCGTACGCCCATGCACATTTCTCTTCGCACAAGTCTGAGTGTCCGCAGTGATTTCAGCCAGATACACCTTGAAATTTTAAAAAAGAAAGAAAAAACACCTCTTTAGCACAGGGAACAACTGGAACAACATTTTTTTATGTCTCATTCATGAACAACTCACCTCAAAGCCTTTAGTTTTGGCTGCGCTCCAGAACTGATCAAAATGTTTAACCCTGTCATTAATAGTGTCTAAAATGATGAAGGGGAAAAAGCCGTCATCCAGAGTTTTCTTAAATGTTTTAAGCATGCTGCTTCGGTAGGTATCCTCCATCTCTGGCTCGTACTCATATTCAAGAACCTGCAAAACAGATTTTTGTGTTACATTGTTTATAATATATACAACAGTAACTGGAATACGTATATTTTTATTTCATTTTCATCAAACAGTATACTCTAGTACCATTTTTGTTACTGTTGTATATGAGACTCACCTTGGTTTTGACCCTCCTGCCTGTGTCTGGGTCTTTCTCAACTTTCTCAACCTCGGTCATGAAGTAGTCGTCCAAAACAAGAACTCTCGGTGGGGCACCACCACAATCAACTTCCTTGTCCTTGATATTGTTAACAAGATTGAAAAGCTATGTTTTCATATTTCTATTTTCTTTGTTACAAAAGATAATAACATTTGTTATGTCAAAAACATTTTTGCAGGACACATTTACAGGCTCTATGAGTACTGTTCTTATTGTTGTAGTATATTGTGCTTAAACTTGAGTTACATTACATTATAATTATATTACACTATGATTTGCTGGTATAACTCCACTCACCCGTATAAGCCTTGCAACATGGCTTTTTCCGCTTCCTGGAAGCCCTCTCATTATTATGACAATCTGTTAAAACAAATAGCTTGAATGAGGACTCCTCACTATTATATAGTGTAACAATGTGCTGTAGATACATCAAGAAACACTGAAGCAGTAACACATACCCTTTCAGGCCGAGATGATCTGCCAGGTGGTTTGAGGATATCATCAATATTCTTGATTTCTGGCTTCTTCTCGACTCGTGGAGGTGGCTGAGGTGGAGGTGGTAGAGGTGGTGCAGTGGGAGCCCCTCGGTCCTCTGGATAACTTCTTCTGTCCACTGTATGAAATTAAATTTTTTTCCAATTATAAATGCAATTTACTGCTTATAAAACTGTTTCCCCACATTCCCTCTATCATGCAGAAATCTAATTTTAGTCACAAAAAAACTTGGGACTTAAGTGTAAAAAGTTGAAGTTCTACCAAACACAGTTGTGCATGTGAACACACATCTGTTAACAGATGTGGAACTGAACATACCGTAAGGTGAAGAGCTATGGCCGTAACGCTCAGGCCCACTGCGGTCAAGTCCAGCACGCTCGTATGGAGGTCTATCGTAGCTAGGCCTTCCATAATGTTCATCTCGATCACGACTGCCACTTCGGTCCCTCTCTCGAAGATCCCACTCTCTGTCCCTGTATCCTGAGCGTAGAGGAGGTGCCAGTGGAGATCTACACAGGGGAGGAGTTGTATTAAGTTTCATTTCCTCAACAGAATTTCTTGTTTCAAACTGGCACACACTGATGACTAATCACAATGTATGACACAGTGTGATATAGTACCTTTCCTCAACCATGGACTGTGTGCTTGAATCAAAAACAGACAAACAGAAAAGAATATTATATATGTACGGAAGCAGTACACTTCCCCACAGTTTGAAAAAAAAAAAAAAAAGGAGTGTCAGAGCCACAGAGGAAACATGTTACCTGTCATCTCTTTCTCTTGGGGGATAGCGCTCCCTCTCAAATCTTTCTCTTTCATATTCAAGTGGAGGCTTTTCTCTGTATAACTCCCTCTCTCTGTTGTACTCCCGGCGGTCCATGTAAGGGTCTGATCGTCTCTCATAATACAGGTCTCTGCTATAAGGATCTCTGGAACCAAGGGGTTCTATGAGGAGAATTAAATAGTTCATCAGTGAACAATGGTAAGAAAGTTGCATAAACAAGCTCTATCTGAGTAGAAAAATATAAGCTTGACAGTATTGAAACTCACCTTTTTCATAACCCCTGTCTAATGGCACCGGGTCAGGCCTTAGCACAATTCTCTCACCGTAAGAGATCCGCTCAACAGTGGCACCAGGCTCTGAAATTAGTGTCAATATCAGCAACAGTGTCTGGAAAGATAATTTGCTTAATCTGTTAAAATGAAGAAATATATTCTTTTTTGCTTCTCATACCATGTCCATGTCCATAATCCACAGTCTTTGGTATCACTGGAGCTGTGGGAGCAGCAGAGAGGACTGACTGGCAATCTGTGGCAGCAGGCTTTGCATCCCAAGGCACAGGTTCAGTTGCAGCTGTCTGTGCTGCTGCAGTCATGCCCTGAGGATGACCGATTTGATATCACAGCAGTTAATTATAAAATGGCAAAGTTGAAATATAATTAAAATAGATTTACTGAAAATATATGGAAAATGCAAAGTATGCCTTGTGTCCTTTAGTGGCCATGCTGTTCCTTACATGCCATGTGTTTTGAATCAATTTGCATAACCAATGGTCTTGCGATTCTTACAACAATGCAGTCTTTGTTGGTAACTATCACTTACCTTCAAAACATTCCTGACGTCCGGTGGGATCTCCAAACCGAGAAGACCAGCAGGAAGCTCAGGCAAGACGTCTGCTGGTGCAGGCTGAGGTTCAGCACCAGTGGTCTTCCCCTCCTGCAGTTCCCTGTAAACCCAAAAGAATGTTATAATGTAGATAAGTTCACCTAAAAGTTGCACAAAATCCATTCAACCATAAAGTAGAGTAGGCAATACAGTAACAAAATGGCCGAAAAGCAAAACAGCCGAAAAGCAAAACAGCCTTCTATTTCGATCACTGCCATGTGTAAAGGTAAGTCAGTTAAGCTGTTTTATGATGTAAGGACCACAATTCCATTCACCTCCCCTGTTTTTGGATGGAGGCAGAAATCGCAGGTGAAGATTTCAAAACCTAGGCTAACAATTAACAACACTGCAATCAGCAGAACTAGATGCCACAAGAGCTAAGTCAGAATGTAATGTGCATGAACCTATTATATAATGTATTAATCAACAATGAAAGTCTAGAAATTACCGTATAAGTTTAAGCTCTTGAGCAGCTTTCAAGATGATCTCGTGCTGACGTTGAGAGAGAGCAAGTACATTTGCTCCACTTGCTCCTTGTGGTGCAGGTTCAACTGAGCTCTCTGGTAAGTTCGTTACAAGTGCAGCAGGAAGGGGAGGTTTATCCAAAGGAGGCTCATCCCTGTGGTCCTCATAACGAGGTCTGCGATCTTCATAGTCAGGAGGATACCCTCTCTCTGGTGGCGGAGGGAGTCTTGAAGGCCTATCCCATTCTGAAGGGGGTGGTGGTGGGTATGGTGGCTCTTCCTGTCGGTATGGTGGCTCATCCTTGTATTCACGGATTCTAAGTTCTCCTCTACCCCTGTTAAGCTCATCATATGGATATGGGTGACCTCTTTCTCTTTCTCTTTCCTCTAGCCAATGGCCATCCCTGTAGGACTCTGGTGGAGGCATGCGGGGGGGATAGTCCCTCTCAGGAGGCGCACGATCTCTGTCCCATTCAGACTCATAGTACTTGGCCTCTGGCCGATAGTCATCAGGAGGATAGTCCTGTGGTGTCCGCCAGCGATATCCGTCTTCCCCATGACCATAATCCTCAACGTAACCCTCATTATATCCCTCTTCATACTCCTCATGTGTTGGACCTGGCCGCCACATACCTCTTGCCATTCCTCGACCCATAGGTCTCCTCCTCATTCCTCCCCTATCTATTATCTCATGTGGAGGCAGAGGGGGACCAATGCCATGTGGCGGTCGCCACCCTAAGTCTCTCTCCATTCCTTCATCGTACAAAGGCTCCTCCATAGGATCCATCATTTCATGGGGCGGTGGTGGCATGCAACGCCTGCGTCTTCCTACATCAGGATGCATCGGGTGGCTGTGAGGGTCATGTCCATGATACATGGGGTGCCCTGTTGGATCAACTTCAGTCTCATCAGTGTCCATTTCATGGCCTAATGGCCCGTGATCCATTGGCCCATGTACTGGATGAGGGGGACGTCCTCGTCCTGGGGGCATGAAACCAGGATGACCACGTGGAGGACGACCTCGGCCAGGTGGAAATGGGGGTCTCATTCCTCTCATTGGAGGAGGTCTCCTTTCTCCCCAGTAAGGGTCATCTTCCTCTGAGTACTCCACTGATTCAGGTTCTTCCCAGTGCCTGTCCGCTGGATCTCCTCTTCCCATAGGTGGTCCTCCTCTTCCCATAGGGGGACCCCCTCTTCCCATAGGGGGACCCCCTCTACCCATAGGGGGACCCCCTCTACCCATAGGTGGACCTCCCCTAACCATAGGTGGTCCTCCTCTAACCATAGGTGGACCTCCTCTAACCATAGGTGGACCCCCTCTACCCAAAGGTAGACCTCCTCTCCCCATAGGCGGTCTACCTCTCCCCATAGGTGGACCTCCTCTACCCATAGGTGGGCCTCCTCTACCCATAGGGGGCCCTCCTCTCATTATTGGGGGTCCTCCTCTCCCCATAGGGGGTCCTCCCATTGGCTCTTCATAATACTCTTCCTCTGTTGCAAAGTGATGGTCCTCCGGCATCCACATTTCTTCAGGGGGCACCTCAGACTCCTCACCTCCAAACTCCTTGTATGAAGGATCTTGCCAGTGATATTCTTGCTGCTCTTCTGGCATCCCCAACTCCTCTTCCGGTGGCATGTAATCATAGGACATTTCTCCCATCTCCTCCCCAAGCGGGACAGTGTTTGATCCTCTGAACTCTCCACGGCCCCTCTGCCCACGACCTCGCCCAAGCACCTGAACAGGCACTGGGGGCTGGCCTCGACCCCTACCAGGAGGAGGCCTTGGAGGCTCTGGTCTTGACTGCATTTGGCCAGAAGCTTGTGGCTCCTGCTGGATTACTGGGGGTTTTGGTACCACTGGGGGTTTGCTGTTTGTCAATGGTCCATCTGGTTTGAGGGGATTTTGAGCAACAGTATTTTTTGATAAGGAAGAAGCAGTTACTGAAGGGTTGCTGTTAACAGGTTTAGTATTTTCACTTTTTTCAGAGGCCTCATTGCCATCTGATTTCTCTGGGTTTGTCTGTAATGTCTGAGGAATGGGGTCACTTTGAACAAAAAAACCATCATTTCCGAGTAAGTTGTCATCTGTCAAGTCTTCAGCATTTACCTTCTCAACTTTTTCAGATTCACTTTTTTCTTTTTCAGACTGTGGCGTGGCTGATTTTCCAACAGTCTTGGATTCAATACTGGCAGGCTGTTTAGTGGCTGTTTCTTCTTTAGGTTGGGGGCCTTGCTGTTGTTTTTGCTGGGGCACGGGTGGGCGTTCAAAACGAGGCGGAGGGCCAGGTGGCCTTGGGGGTTGTTCAAACCTAGGCTGCTGCCCAAATCGTGGCTGATCGAATCTAGGGGGACCATCAAAGCGCGGGCGTGGTTGGTCAAATCTGGGAGGCCCATCAAAGCGCGGGCGCGGTTGGTCAAACCTTGGGGGGCCGTCAAAGTGCTGCTGTGGTTGGTCGAACCTTGGGGGCCCATCAAAGCGCTGCTGTGGTTGGTCAAACCTTGGGGGCCCATCAAAGCGCTGCTGTGGCTGGTCAAATCTAGGGTTGTTTCCTCTGGGATAAGTAAGACAACAAAAATTGTAAGAAAACGTTAAGATAAGCTTTCTTTTAAAGACACAGCAACAGCCTAATATTATAAAACAATAAATATGTATTGTGCATATGAAGTACTGTGCGTCATTTCAACAGCCCACCTGAAAACTCAACTGATTTTATGAGAAAATTTTTCTTTTGAAAAGTCATTCTAAAATTAGGCCTGTCACAATTCGAACATTCGTATAAATGTAGCAAAAAATAAATATTTAAGCTGTAATGACCTGTTTACAAGCTAAGATGCTTTGAAGTAGTTTGCCTTTGGCTTTTTGGCTTCATCTATTGAATAGCCTATTCACGCATCAGTAAACTAAGCTAATCAATAATAATAGAAAAGGACATAAGCAAGCAAAGCTGTTATGATTGGATAATCAAGACAGCAATCTGAGAAGCAGTGTATGGAAGCATTTTGGGTTTTTCACCAAAAGATAAGAAAATTTACCAACAAAGATTGCCTACTTTGTAAGAAGTGCTGCCTTACTCTGCAACAATAACAAATCTAAGGAGTCACCTGCTAGCTTGCCACCCACGTGAGGCAACAGGGGTACCAGAAACAAGTGGCACATCATCCTTGTCTGCTCATAAAAAGGAGATCACCAAGCACCAATAAGATAGCGAGATTTATGTCAATGTGTTATTTCAGTTTTTACGAGTTTTAGCACAAGGCTTCAACATAAAAAAATGTGAAAAAGGTGAAGAGGTCTGAATATTTCCTGAATGCACTGAAGGTGCCAGTTCCAATTAGTCTGAACTCAATCTTTTAAAAAAGTGACAGCCCTGTGTCAAATGTAACAATTTTTAATTACAAAATGGCTATGACAGTGGTACAAAACAATCCCTACTGACCGTGGACCTCTAACACTGTTGATGCTCGGTGGCTGAAGTGTGGGAGGACCTGGGGGTCTGACTCCTATGCCAGCAGGGCCACCTCCTCTTACAGGGGGTCCAGCAGGTGATTCTGAATGTGGCCCAAACCCAGTGGGCCGTGGACCTTGAGATCTGGGACCAACAGCAACTGGAGATTGCGGCACACCCTGGTTTAGTGACTGCTGTTGCATTTGCATGTCTTGTCCAGGGTACTGGCCAAATTGTCCCATCATCCCACTATTATACTGGCCAGAGGTAAATGGCACCATGGTAGTCAGAGTGGCCACCCTTTCTTGAAGGTGGGTATTGGTGGCATTCATCTGTTCCTGCCACTGCTTCCATTGGTGCTCATAGTCCTGTAGCTGGTCTTTGTGGGGATAGGTCTGGAACTGCTCATACCACAGGGCAAATGAGCGACCCCAGTCTTGAAATAAAGGGGTGAACTGCTGCTGTTGCATTTCATAGTGCCTCAGCTGCATTTCAGCAGACATAGACTGCAACAAAGGACATTAAAGAAAGGATGTTATTCATTTTTTGTTAAAGTATTATCATAAAAGGTACATGTAGAATGAAGAAACCATCAAGACATTACATGTAAAGATTAAAACTTTCACCTTTCACTTTCTGTATATGCCAATCTTCAGACCACGAAAAACAACTAGTAAGAAGTAAATGCTAAAGAAACTATAATTTACCTGAAGGTCTGCAGGTTGCTGAATCAGCTGTTGGTATTTTTCCAGGATCTGCTGAAGCTTTTCATGCTGTTGCATGAGAGCCTGGTATTGTAAGCCTGCTCTCTGCTGTTGTACCTGCTGCCACTGTGCTGCTGCAGCCTGTAACTGCTGGAGGCGGGCAGCCTCCGCTGGGTCTTGTGGGACCTCGGGCTTTAAACAGAAACAAGGCCAGATTGAAGCAAAGCATGGCTCTGTAACTTGCAAAGAGTATTTTTGACATAGGTGAGGGTAGTTTGTGACGGAACAGATGACACATTTTTGAGATGGAGGCAACATATTGCTGAGAACATATTACACAATCACACAAACACGACAACATTCTCAGTAAATGTATTTACAATCAGCAAAGTGAGGGCATCTAAACGATTTGGTACAGATTCTATTGTCACAATTCTTCCTCGTCCTACAGACAAGCAAGACGAAGGTCAAGTATGTATGCCTGGGCACTTCTGTAACTTACACTGGGCACATAAGACAATTAAAATCAATGTTCCCACTGATTTAACTGCCTCAGACATTATTACAATCATTGATCACCATTAGAAGGGAAGGAAGAATAAATGTGTTTTAGTCTTGTGAACTTCACACATTCATGAAATGGCAGTTATCACAAGAATTGGGGCTAAATATTTATGGACATGATGGTAATGGGAGGGTGGGTGGTGAGACTTACTGTATCTGTAAATATAGGTGGTTTTCCTACATTTTCACCCTGAAAATTAATGCAAAAAATATAAACAATGTTTAGATCTAGTGATAACCGAACCTGTCTGGTATACTCTATTTTAAACTGTATTTGGCATGTTCTTAAAGGCTGTTGAGTAAGCAATACAATGAATGTGAAAAAATAATTAACAGCAACAAAATTATTGACATAAGTTTCATTGTACAACTAGGAAAAGGGCACTCAGAGAGCACAGACCTCCACAAATATTCAACAACATACACCATGTGTCAATCGCTCATTACTGCTAGTCTCAAGCAGAGATGAGGAGCAGGCGACAGAGGTCTAGTAACCTCATCTCTTTTGAACTCCACACCCCCATATTTTTGTTCCCATTTTCCAACTTATAGTCTTCAGCCCCAATCTACCCCGACTCAAGTGACATCACTTCAATATTTCAGATTTTGCGCAGCTCCCTCTGGAGCCACAAAAGGCTTCATACAATTTTATCACATATCCTGTAGCATTCCTCAAGATGTGTAAAGACTCTTTGATGTGTAAAATCAGTGGAGCGCCCCTTTGACCGAGACAAGTTTGACTTCTTACAAAAACCCCTCTCTGCCATGTTAGGCATGCTTACCCTTAAGTCCTCAGGTGGTGGGGGTGGTAGTGGGGGCTCATCTTTTGGAGGGGGTGGAGGAGGTGTGCTTTTCGGTGGTTCTATTGGAGGAGGGGGAGGAAGTCCATGGCCTGCGGGTGGCAGCACAGGACCATCACCCTCTTTCTGATTCTGTTTGGCTTTCTCTTGCTTTAACTTCTGTAGATTCTGAAGATGCTGTTTGTACCAAAGTTGCTGTTGCTCCTGGATGAAACAATTACAAAGACATGTCTGACGAAAGCACACGAGAAACCGTGTCGTTTCATTTCACTTAGTACGTTTATGTTACAAACCCTGAAACAGATCACAGGCTGAAACCTGCTAGTTGCACTAACATATCTGTTCTTACTGTGGCACTGCGAATGTTTACCTCCCAGTTCAATGTTACAGGATAAAACTGTGATAGGATAACACTTTCAAACGTTGTCAGTGGCCTGAAACACACAATGGCTTTACATTTATTTCAATTTAAACCCTAAGTCCTCAGAGTGTTACTAGAAAATGGCAAAATTTTACAGACTTAGTGATGGTCATAGTAAACCTGAATTGGCCAAAACGCACTACATTCACAAACACTAGATTTAACTTTTAATATTACTTATTTGGTTTCTTATTAACATGCTTAACATTGCACATCATACAGCTCTACTCTAATCATTTGACCTTATACATCTACAACACAAGGCCATACAGCTGAATTAAATTATTAATATTTTTCTGACTAATATTGTGATTACTGAGGGTAGTTTGTGCTTTCTGTATTAATGTTCTATGAAATAGTAATTATCAACTAACTAGCACAAATGTGTTACCAAGCTCAAATGGATTACACTGTTATTACAAAGAGTCAACTTTATTATCAGTAACACAACCTCATGTTGTGGAGGACAAGAATATCTACTTTTTTCACCCTAACAAAGACCACATCGAGTATTTTCACTAATTATCATCTGTGCTCTGACTGAAAGCATCTGGTGGTCTTTGATCAGAAGGAACAACATTACAGCATGTGCCAATCAGTGCTGTTTAAACTTAATCCTGATTTAAGTAATTCCGTAGTAAATCTACTGTCAACAAGTCCAATCAGTATTTATATTTAGCAGTGGGCATATCCCAAGTAAAAATAAAGCAGCGGATACAAATCTACTAAAATAGAAACTCTTATTGGTCCTGATCCAATTCCTTGTGTGTGTGACACATCCCTAGTTCCCTCTAACACTGCACATGGGTTTCAAGTCTCAGTGTATGAGTTATGGCAGTTCTGAAAACAAAATAGTACATTAGATATACTGGTTTAGTCTCTGTGTGATTAATACCACACAGTGAGTATTATTTAATTCCATAACCTTTAATGCCTTTATTGAATATCACATGATTTCCCCCACTTGTCTTACCTATTTGATGTGGACAGTGTGATACTTGCAAGCATTACATTTGTTTATTTGTTTGCACAAGCATGACATATCCTGTCACCAAAACAGGACAGGGACATCTCTTTCAGAGAAAAGGGGTAATTTCTTATAACATCAATAAAAAAGTTTACTAAGCTGTTCTTATGTCGCAAGTTTTGTCTGCAGGAGGAGCAAAGAAGGCGTAAATATTTATCACAGTGATGTGATTTAGCACCAAAGCATGTAAAACAAACCCATACAAGACGTTACCTGCAAAGGTAGGGATTTGTCCTCTTCTGTCGTGGATGAATCCTTCTTACTGGCCTCGGTGGCTTTGGGAGCACCGGTGTTCTCCGGCGTCTTGGATAATAGAGTCTCTGGAGGGGGAGGACACGGTTGGGGCTCCGTGGGGTGAGGTTGTGGTGGAGGCGGAGGAGGCTGTTGGTGACTCTGCTTGGGAGCAGGTGGGCCTCTCGCCGGCTGAGCCGAAGTCTCGTCTTGTTTATAGTATGCCTGAGCTCCAGCACTGTCCGTATGTCCTGAGGTCTCTGAATGCCACGGCCCTGAATACCCACCACCGTACGCACTGGCACTGTTGCCGTGTTGTAACACAGACTGGAGCTGTTTCTGGTGCAGCATCTGAAGCTGCTGCATCTGCTGGAGATGCTGCTCCTGCAGGCTGGAGAACAGCGAGCCGCTGGATGGGGCCTCGAAGCCCCCGAACCCCGCTGCCGGCCCGGGGTGGCTAGCACCTGGTTGCTTACGAGGCCCAGGTCCTGCGTAGTTTTGCGACTGAGGTCCACCATAATTTCCCCAGGAGGGATACATTGTTAAAAAGCGAAGCGGTGTGCACGGCCTTTGTGCTCACCCACAGCCGGGTCTCAGTTGCTAACAACGCTAACAAAGCTAACAGCTAACGTTGACCTACCTATAATAATTAGCTACATTTTCATTCCCAGACTGGAACAGGCCCCATTAGATAACGTTTTTAATTACCACATATGTAGCTAGAAACTGTTATTCGTTAAAGACAGAAATTTGCCCGTTTAGCTTTGGGAAAATACTTTACAAAAACCATTCAGACACGGTGGTGTCGATGAACAGCTGATGACGGAAACACGTCACATGTCGTCAGGTGACGACATCCGTTTCTCTCCCATTTTTTATGTGGTGATTGTGCCTGTGTTATGAAATATAAAATACGTTTTGATGAAAAATGTTTATTCATACATGCTATCACTTCTTTTGTTTTCGAGTCTGTATTTCCTTCTCTTTCCTTCTTGTCCCACTTGTCTTGTGATTAAGGTCAAAATGTAATGTAATGTAAATTTATTTTATAACACACATGTATTTATCATATATATATGATAAATATATATACTTTATCATTATTATTATTTATATATATATATATATATACACACACATATATAAATATATATACTGTATATATATTCATACAAATTAATGTGAAAATGCAACACACAAAACAGGGCTTAAAATATTGTAAAATTAAATAAGGCATTTTTTTCAAAACGTGTTCCAATGGTTACTGACTACTCACTGCAAATACAGAAATATGATACCCAACAGCTCACCCGGGGTCTGTAATTTTACCACAAGAGGGAGACATTTACAAAGCTATTTCTACTCAACACGAGGAACCATTGACTGTAACAACAATAACAACATCAATAATAATAATAATGGTAATAAGAAGAAGAACATTATACTAAATTTGAGCTAAAAAAAAAAAGTTCTTGGATATTGAAATTTGTCAGGTTAATGGAACATTGTTTAAATTAACAACAATAATATATGTAACTACATGGTCATAGTAAATTCCACATGAAAAAGGCCTGAAGAATCTTTTAGGATAGAGTCAGCTACAGTCTGTGTCCAAACAACCTACAGCAGTTTGTTGACTCAGGGAGCAACTGTGTGAGTTCAGACTTTGTGAGAGGACTTTGTGTTTAGAAACTGAGGGGGGTAGGGTGGGAGGGACAGCAGTGGGAGGTAAAAGACCAGTGACTTTAGGTTGCCCTTGAGGTCTGATACACATAAGAGTATTTTTTGTCTTAAGATCACCAGTAAATCTGTATTAATTTTGACCAGAACCACTTAAAAAGAATCGTTAAAGCGGATTAATCAAGCCCGTCCTGTTTAATGTCTCCCGTTAATTAGTTTGTCAGCAGTGTTTTAATATCGCCTAATGACTTCATATTTCACTGATGACATTAAAGGGGTGTTAAAAGAGGGGAAATGGCCCATTCAGGATTCAGTTCTTTCGCTTAAGACGCCCTCGATGAATAAGACAAGGTCACGGAGGCCTAGCCTTTAGGGAGAGATACATTATCAGGGGATGGGGGTGGTGAAATCCCATAGAGGAAGCTCTCTCCCCTCTAAAACAGCATGACGGGCACAATGTGATACAGTTCTGTCTTAGAACAATACACTGCACAGGGAATTCATGCTACAGCTTAGGGCAGCCACGCTGTATAGGATGGCAGGATAGCCCCACAGTGTACAATAATACTGATGCTGGGATGCTTGGGACTAATGCCTAGTGCTGTTTGGAGGTGAGGGGTGAGACTTATGACTGTCATAATGTTCGTTTGTGTGTTAATAACAAATGTAGCATTTTTAAGTGATTTTTGTCCATTGACCAGATAAACATATGAGAGAAAACAACAGCCTAATATTTTCAAATGCATTAGAAGTTAGCCCTTTTCAATCTTCATCAGCACTTTCGAAAGCTTTCTAAGCAAGAACAAAGAAATCAGAAATCGTAAAGTTGTAGCTCACAGTATTGAGGACACTGCATTTTCTCTGTGATGAAAATCCTATGTTAAACAAAATGCTCAATGGAGGCTAATGGATCCCGAACAAGTCCATGCACTGCTTCCAAAATGCTTTGTTTGACAAATCAATTTTCCCATAACCCGGTGAGGAGAAAAGTGATGCGGATTGATCGCCCCCCCTGACTTTGTTTCCAGAATATTGTTTGATGGCTGGATAGATTAATTGGTATGACATTTGAAAGCCTTCTCTTGACTGTCAGCATCCAAGCCTCTATACGCCAATCGAACCTCAGTCTAATTGTCTCCTCTATAATACCCCACTTCACAAATTAGAGACGCTGCCTCTATAAACTATTCCCAATGTAAGACCCAAACAACATCACCCTGTTCAATCAGACATTGGTTTGAATAGGGGTGATGCTGGGCTGATAAGATAGAGCACATTAAAGGGCATCACCCAATGCGCTGTGCCAGCACATCTTCCTCTCAGCACACTAGATCTGAAATATACAAATCAGACCCCAGCAGCTGCTCCAGGTAAACAGGCTCCAGACTCATCAATCTAGAGTAGTTCATACTATTTGAATCTTAGTTAGGCGCCTAATTTGAATTAGGACTACAGTGAGGAACACAAGGGGAAAATCATCTAAATCAATGACCTTGCAAATGCTGGCTTGGTAGTCAAACATGTCATCCTCACATACAGAATCTAAATGTGTTTTTGTATGTGGCTGTGAAAGTTGTTGAAGTCTATGTTATGGCCTGTAACATTGCTGCTAGGACCGTGATTAACAGCCCTCCTCATCACAGGACCTTTTCACTGGAGACATTTTGACATAGTAAAAGCACAGGTGGAAATATTAAAATGAATGCTGGCTGAATTCAGTTCAGCTGCTTCAGGTTCAGAGTCCAGGTATTGTCCATGCTGACACACCGTCACAGTGAGTGGGACACTTGAATTGAACAGAGCCATTGTTAATGTTATAAGAGGAGAAGCCAAAATATATGCTGTGAAAAAGCCGGATTGATCTATATTACAAAATATACTGTGAGAAAACATGAATTTGTGCAACTGAGAATTTTTATTATTTTAACTTATGCTGTGGTATCTGTCCTTTTCTCCTAGTCTTTCTCTCTGCTCTGATTGCATTTGTACATTGTAGCCAAGGTTATAATGAGAAATACTATGAAAAACTGTGTTTTTATCTCATTTTTGCAGTAATGGGATAAAGAATGAGCCTTTAATTATAAGGTTTTGAATTTATTAAAGTTTATGAAGTTATTTTGCCTTTAAAGTGTTTCTCATATAGATGTTAAAAAATACTTATATGTTATAATGTAACATACACTGTCACATACATTGTGCATATTGGCCACTTCTAATTCAAATCAATAAACCCTCTGTTTGCTGGATAAAATATGGAAACACATGGACAGAAATGCACACCCACAGAGTTTTCAAAATGCAGCATAACAGCATTGTTTACATTTCATTTCGTAGTTTACTGTAGATTGTTCAGCCTGTGGTTCTTAGTGAGAAGTTCAGTCCCAACTCCAGTTAATTGTGGCTCAGTAAACAAGGGAAGAAAATGAAGAACCTGAGTTAGAATATGTCAAAACTGAGCTTGTACTTTCTCAGTTGTTGTCTGTGCATGTACCGTAAAGAGACTCAGACAGGTCTGCATTAAATCATATCTAAAGACAATATTTTTGTCCCATCATGGTCCCTGATATTGAAAACATATCTGGAAAGGAAGATGGAGACAGTTTGGTCTAAAAAAAAAAACCAAACAAACAAAAAAAAGAAACAGCTTATAATCTATAGTCTGCTTATTTTTCTACATAAAAAGGAGCAAATTTACTTGAGTCAGATAAGACTGTAGTTCGTGGAATCTGCCCCCCACATTTCATCACCATTTATTTATCATTCACAATGACTAATTGCCTGACTTGACTTCAATTTTGTGGGCTGGGATCCTCACAGAGCAAGCTGCTCGGCTGCCCACCTCCCTTCACTCGCCGCACCTCCCTATCACCCCAACACACCCACTTGCCTTTGAAAAACTGTAATTGAATGAGTTTATGTCGTCAAATTGATTAATCATATTAATTTGTACTTATTAGTGGGATGGTTGAAAGCGATGACAATTAGATTAATGAAATTAGTTAATTCTTCCTACCCACACCATACTCCCAACTATAACGAAGCAAAAAAAAAAAGCATAGAAAGGGCGACTTATGACAAAATTGGCAATCAAGATTTGGCTGCTAATTGAATGTCTGCTTTTATTAATGATGAGGTTTATAAAAAGACCTTGAGAAAGGAATATTAATTGATTAATCAAAGTGCTCCAAATTAAAGTGGGAGTATACAAAGCAGAGGTCTGAAAATTTCCCTCACATTTGATTGTGAAGCATGCTGGAGTGTCTTTCACGGGACGCTAAATAAAAATATAAACTGTTTGCAGACATCTGCATATAAAGCTGTTGTTTAAATTTCCTTGCTGACTGAAATGTTGTCTTGTTGAAATGAATCATGTTCTGCTGTGAATAGTCAAGTAAAAGTGACATATTTTTCAGTATATTGTGACTGACAACATCTGACTTTACAAAACTTGACATCAGTGGTTTGTGTATTGTAATATTTGTAAAGACATTAGTGAAATCGTGTCATCTTCACATTACTCTGAGAGTCTTTATTTGTCAGTACAACATGTTGAGATGATGAAGAGGCTCCACTGTAATAAAATGTTGCACAAACTGAGGCTCTCCAGACTTTACAGTAAAGTATGGATGTTGCCTGACCACAGATCAGTTCTGCAGGGAGCCGCATGTCCCCACGGGACCGCAGCCATACATTCATCATGCCTGTTTGCCTGTTGTGGAAAAACAAAATCCACATAAATATATGTAAATCTAAGTAAACAGAGTGTGAGATCCCTTGAGCTGATAGACTGCTTTGAATTTCATTACGCAACAAGCCATCTGACGGTTACAAACGATGTTCATGAAAAAGAAGCGATTGTTCGATGTGATAAAGATGAAATGTAATAGTTTATGCCACCATGAATCTGATTGTAACGTCCACACTATTAGAAAGGCTGATAAGAGCATTTATGACTATTTGCTTTGTGTGATAAAGGGAAGTGGGCTGTTTGATTAATACGAGCAGCTGGCTGGCTCCAGGTTCAACAGATTGTGTTGGTGCATATAACTAACA